CAAAATTAGGTTACTTTCAACCTTTAGGAAAACATTCTTTATTCTGCTACCTGGTTAAGACATTGTTGTGATTGAAATAACTGTCGTTTCCAAGTAGTGAAGCAGCTGCAATTACTAATTACTGATCCATCAGCGGTAAGGGAGGGAGATTCTAGTTATCCTGAGTCCTAAACCCACAAGAAATCCAGTTGTATTTTAAAGCTGCCTTTGCAGCTTCACTACAGTTTCTGTCTAACAACACAAGAGCTGCGTGATGGAGCTGAGTTCATATGCAGTGTACTCCTCGGCGTGATTATTGTTACACGGCTGCAATCAATGGTCTTCTCAATATTTCATTAGAAATTGTTTGGGGATTGTTTCAGGAATATATAATTCCGACTTAATTTTAACTTAAGGGAGAAACCTGGCCTGTGGGTTGTTAGTCTAAACACGTTTTCTTAATTGCATAATTTTAACTGCATTTAACTTGAATGTTTTTAATTTAAAGATGGCCAAAACCATAATAACCTCATGGTTTGATGTCTATGATACACAGTGTGCAAGTTAGAATATTAAGTCTAAACAATCACATTTTTCAAGCAGCTAGCTTCAAATCAATTAATTGCTCATCATACTTTCCAAAAACATTTTTAAAGCCAGCCCCAAAATGCATTTGTGGAACAGGTACCAGGTTTTTGCGTGTGTTATGGGGTTTTTGGTGTTTTGGATGGTCTTCTAATAAAAAACTTTATTTGCCAGTCAGTTTTAATTCCTTTGGCATCTTTTTGCCATTTTGTTCATTTTGCCAGACAGGGGGTAAGTGATCCTGGAAGTATGGCAGTGATGGTTTTTTACTTGCTTGTTTTCCTTGTTGTGAATGTGAACAGGGAAAGTTTGTGAGCCACGGGTTCATGGGATGCAATAGTCTCCAAGAGCAGTCTCAATATTGTGTTCGTGTCCTGCTCATATGGAAGCAAAGACAAGATGCAAGGGATGTGGTTTAATTAGACCTCAATTTTATTAGCTTAGCCATCTGGGATTTACTGGCATAAATTTGTACAGTGCAGGTCAGGATCCTTTCTTTAATCATTTCCTTCTGGGGTAGGTTGCTCTCAGTCCCCCATTCCCCCGCAGCTGGTCCCCAGCCTGTTATTGGGACCCCCCTATATCTGCTTTGAGTCCAAATGAGAAGAGGTCTGGAGAAGAGATTGGCTCTTTGGTATATTTCAGACATTAACCCCAAACACAATTCTTAGTTTTTTGAAGAGTCACTTTCTCCTAACTTCATTTCCAATTTCAGACTTCTTAATCCAGCTTTAAGAAGAGGTTTAGAGGGGGAGGATGGAGTTTGTGTTCCTTATTTCTGCACTTGCGGCAGAAGACGTGCTAGAGCTAAATCAGAGTGCCCGTTAATTCAGGTTACTGCCTCTAAAGGGGGATTAGTTTCATTTTTTTTTCTTACTTCTGCTGCAGGTTTACCTCCTTGTCTTCAGGTTCTGTGGCAGGATTTTTGGCTTTTTTGGCAATATAGAAATATTGAATAAGCTACGTTAGTACAGCTTTATTCTTATGCATTACTTTTTATTCTTTGAGCAAAATATTGTCTATATCAGTGAAAGGCAGCATTGACTTTTATATCAAATCTGTATATAACCCCTAGTATATCAGAATCCCTGGGCAAATGTTCTGGGAGCAGAATACATCAACTACCTGGGAGGGGAAAAGCTGTTTAGATAATCAATTCCTCTTGTAACTTTGTTGATGGAAAAATGAATCTTCCCAACAGAATCATCCTCAATTAACTTTGTGTTGCCCACAGAATCTGAAATTCTTTTGTTCTTCAGCAATCTTCTTGTCATGCACATAGATGCATTGGATATTTCTTAGGCGTATTTTATTTAAATAAGTAAATAAAATACTGTAGAAGTACTATAGAGAAATTTTCTTGCTGTAGCCTATGATGAGAGCTGAGATTGTGATCAATGTAATGCATTAATAAGAAATTCATGGCACATGCTTTCTGTTGCTAGAAACTTCATGAGATAAAGGCTCTTAACATGGTGAGAGTTTAAATGATCCCAATAAAAAGTAATTTTTCACTTCCAAATTTGAATAATTTACTTTATAACATCAGTACCTCAAAACTGTTTAAATCAAATGCTGTTTCATTCGCTGTTGAAAAAATAGTTAATGTTGATTGTCAGGAGCCATGGGGTTTACATCTGTACATCATAAATTTCACTATCATCTGCTCCTTTTTCTACTTAAAAAGAAGAAAAAAAAAAAAAAAAAAGAAAAAAAAAAAAAAAAAAAACCCCCCCGCTTAAAAAAAAAAAAGGCAAGGAAAAAAAAAAAAAAAGCCCCCTGCTTAAAAAAGAAGGGGGGGGAGAAAAAGCCTTTGAAGGCATTGGAGCCTTTTGTTTGATGTGTGGAACAAGATTAATAAAAACGTGCCACTACATTAGCTTTTAAATAGCTAGCATGAGACAGTGCTGCTGTCTATACTCACCGCAACTTGAATTCATGTAGATAACATGTTTTAGACACATGATAGTTTTAGCATTGCATTACGGCGCTTTCTTGCGGAAGAACTCAGGTTTGTGAGTGTGTTTATCTTCTGTGTAAAGACAATTAACTGGGCAATGCCAAAACACAATAGGCTTTGATATTTTACAGAATAAAAGGAAAGTATTTCACGTACTCAGCTGGTTTACAGATGTGTAAGCTTTGTAGTCCATTTTCTTGCTCCAGCATGGCATTATGACAATTCCTCCAATATGTCTAAAATAGATAAATATTGGAAGAGAAATTACCTTTTCAAATGCTAAAGATTTATTTTGATTTTATCATATTTAAATTTAATCCAAATCAGAATTGGTTTCTCTTCCCGTTCTTGAAAAAGCTGTGAAAATAATGGGGTTTAGTTTCACTGCTTGAAGCAAGGGGAAACATCAGAAGTTAGTGGTTATTTAAATTTTGAGTTCTTTTAAACATACTTTCTATTAAACAGTACGTTCTCAAATAAATCTTAGAATTGTAACAATACGGAAGATCTACGTGGATATTAAGTGATTTTCCTGTAGTTAAGACACACCCCCACCTTGTTTGAAGTCCAGCCAGCCTCAAGGTGTTACAGTATAAATTGCAAAGTCGCTTCTTCAGAGCAGTGCTCCACAGGTTTAAACTCTAAGAGGGAGCTGCATAAAAATGGTAATCTGCTGGCCCCGAATACTTGGGAGGATGGAAAATGAGTGTATGGAAAACAAATCATCTCTTTAGGTATAGGATTGTTTTCTCTTCATGTCATATATAGTTTGATATGATGAACAGAGGTGTATTTGTATTGATTGAAGCTGTTATGTCATCATGCAGTAGAATGTTTATTTGCCTAAATTCTGTAATGTGGATTATAGAAGAAGAAGTTAATTTGGGTATTACACACTAACTCTTCTCCCAGATGTGTTGAAGAAAGCTGATTTGCAAAGGATTTCAACTTTTCAAGACAAAAACAATAAGAATTCGTTTTGTATTTTTAAGCTCACAATGCATTTCTTTTTAATAAAATTTTGAAGGCTAAACATTCGGGACAATGTGGAAATGATCAAGGTCCGTAAACAGCTGGCTGAGAAAAGCAACGCTCTTTCAGCAATGGAAGCAAAATTTCAGCACCTTCAAGAGGTAATTGCAATTTGGTCAGTAACATCCCTTTACTCTTGTCACATAAGCATGCATAAATGGAAAATAAATATACACAGCTCTTAATTCTGAGTCAATGCTGAGCACATGAAAATGAACCACATAATACATTGCACCCAAGTTACTCCAAATGTGTAGGGTGCTTTAGTCTGAAATTTTTTTTTTTTTTTTTTTTTTTTTTTCAGAAGTGTCTAGCAGGTCTTAAAGATTTTATCTGCAAACCCATCCCAGACAGATTGTGGAGAATGAACTGAGTTGTCTGGCTGTCTAAAGAGATTCCTGATAGTTTAAAAAGAGGGCTTTGACTTAAATATACTGACTTAATAAAGAACGGGTACCAGATCCCTCCTCATTTTATCAGTCTTTGATAAAGCTGGGGAGGTTTGGCTGTTCCGACATTAAGGCTTAACTTGTGTTCATAAGTTCATGGAAATTATTTTAGAGGGCTACTGAAAGTGATGGATTTTTTTTTTATAAAAGGAGCAGTTTTATGAAAATATCTCCAGAACATGCAACGGTATGGTAAATTCTGTATGGGTTTTAGTTATGCAGGATTTTTCTGCTTCTTCCCATATGTATTTGGAGAGTCACATGTGTATACAGACAGTGGTAATGTGATAATAGCTTAGAAACGGGAGAGTTCCTGTGAGTAGGAATTCTACATGCAATAGAGCCTTATAAGGTGGAAGCACTAGATATCCTTGTAAACCCTTACTGCTGCCTGCTGCTTGATATTTGAGCACGCTAAAGAACACTTGTGCCATTAGATTTTTGTTCAGTTCCTTTATTCCTGTGTTTTTCTGCTTCTACGTTTTGCTTTGCTTTGCTTCGCTTCCCTCCCGCTGCCCTGCTGTAATGCCTGTATCTGCTCTGCCAAAGCAGGTCTTGTGTTAGTAGCTCAAATCTAATTTTTCATAGGGTGAACTATGTAGGATGTAAATTCCAGGGGAGACAGGTTTCACATGGCTTTTTGTGTTCTTAAATAGAAAGCGATAAGTAAACTGTTCCATTTGAAATCATATGCGACTTTTTGGTAATTTACAGCAAACATCAAGTCCTTATGCCTCTATCTTGGCAGCGGCTGAATGGAAACACATGCCTAGGATTCAAACTGGTATTTGAAGACATTGTTTCTAATATTCACAGTGAAAGCTGCATTTTTGAAAAGGATGAGTGTGTTTTCTGCCTCATTCTTTTTTTTACAACTTAATGGATACAATGTTTTTTTCCCCGTTTCTAGTCATTTGAATGTTTGAAACATGTCTACTAAATGTGAATAACTGTAAAATCCAAAATTTCTAGTTCAGATGACACATAAAGTACTTATCAACAGAGCAGTTTTTTATATTTTTTATGTTTATCGTGATGATTTTTATGACTATTGAGTTCATTATTGTCATCTACTTTCAGGTCCTACCAATTGAAACCCATAAAATGGGTTCGTCTTTGAACTTGAGTCAACCCAAAATGTGAAAGCACAGAATGATAAGAGCCTATAATCCTGCTCCATTCAATGATATTGAAGTTTGCTAACAAACATTTACAGGACAGTTTTGCTAATAAAGAATTTTAATGTAGCCAGTTGAATGAAGGAACTGTGTAATCTGCTTAGAAGAACAATGACGCTGAAACTGTTTGGATTATTTTTTTTTTTAATGAGTTATTTGCAATTGACAACATTATTAAGGCATGTTTCCAAAAGAAAGGAAATTCCAGACTAGAAATATTAAATTAAAATCAACATCCCAATTGTTGCCATGACCTGAGTCTTGGGATACTCCAGGGAGAGCAGAATAGAAAACAGTCTGGGCATAATGGGAGAAAAAAAAGTGCTGACAGAACACTCAGATGTAGAAGAATATCCAGGTAAAGATTGCATTTTGGAAAAAGAAGGAATAAAAATAATGAGGGTGAAGTCATGGTCCCCTTAATGAGGAAAGTTAATCCAAAATGGTAAGGAGAAGAGCAGAGATACTGGGGGACTAGGATGAAGTTGAAGCGAGCAGATTTTTCAGGAGGATATTTTTAGTGCTTTTAATGAGATGGTTCAGTAGAATAATTACAATTGTTGAGATTTTTTTCAACAGTTTTGGAGATGAAGGAAAGAGATAAGGATGAAATGGTCTATGAAAGGCAGCTTTGCCAAGGTGGTGGTGGGGAGTTTCTTCATGTGTAGTGGGTTGAAGTGCCACAGGTTATTGAAATGGAAAAGAACTGCAGGAAAAATTGAAGCTGAGAGATGGCAAAGAAAAGATAAGTCCAGTTGGACAGTTGGAAGGGTTAGAGACTGTAAGGATTCTGATTTTGAGGAGAAAGGAAAGAAATTTGGAGAGAAATGAAAACTGTAAAAGTGATTTTTAAGGTGGCCTTTTTTGAAGTTATTGAAATACAGTTCACAGATACAGGACACAGCAAGAGGAGCACTAAAGAAAGGTTGTTTAAAATTGATGAGTAATGTACTTCATTATCTCTCTGAAATAAGACTGACTCCTAATATTGTTTATTCTCTATGATATTTTTCCTTACGGAGAAATGAGGTAAAAGAGGCTGAAGGTGATTGGTTGGTGATTGGCTTTTCTGTGGTTTTTTGTGTGTTTCTAGGCTATTCAGGCTGCATGTGAACCTAAACTATTTGTAAAGGTTTCACTTTCAGCTTCTCCATTTAACTACTTTGTAGGAATATTATATGGGATACACAAAGCTAATTTTTTTTTCTGTCTAGAAACATTAAACATTATCTATTTGACAAATTTTCGTACCATCATTTTATTAAATAGGAGTCTGGCTTTTGGGCTGTTTTGTTTCAAGTCATACTTTGAATGTGATATACATGGAAGTTCTTAATGAATGAGGCTTCATTAAAGCATTGTGGAATGTAGGGAGTATAATAATAACTAATATTCTGGAAATATAGGTTCTATCAGCACCATCCATTTAATATTAAAATTGGTTAAATGTGCCTTAATATAATCCACTGAAGTAAATTAAAATGTAGAAGAAATCATAGGTCCCTCGTTAAATTACCGCTAGCGGGGAAATAAACTGAGTGCATTAGGATTATGGAACAATTATAGATCTACAATTAAGGGTTAACAGAGCTGTGGCAAATTCTGTGATTAACATAACTGTGGTCAACATTCATTTTTGCTTGCTACTGCAGTGTTTTTGGTCAGCATGTCTAACCACTGTAACCACAGCAAAATCTTTTAATTGCTTAACAGATGTATTTCTTGGTCGTTTCCATCATGACTGAACTGAGGGTTTGATGTTCATGAGAGCAACGAGAATGCCACCTTTTCCTGGCCATGTGTAACAAAAGTTGCTTTCAGTTACTTAGTTCAAGAGTGTCTCCTGTTGACCACATTGAGAATATCTATTAAATACTGCCAGAAGAGACTGCTGGTTGAGTTGCAGTGCCCTAACATTTTACTGTGTGATGTATTTTAAGCTTTTTTTCTGGATTTTTTTCTTCCTTCCTTTTTCATAGAACCAGAAGAACTTGAAGATGAGCCATGATGCTTTAATAGCAAAAAGTGATGAACTGAATCTACAGCTTAAAGAAGAGCGGTTAAAGTGCCTCCATCTTGAAAAAGAATTGCAGTCAGTGACTATTTCAAACCGAAGGACAGAGGAGGTGAGATTGTGTTCAAGAAAGCTAGAGTCTCCTTTGGGTAGTACACATAGATAAGGGAAAAGTTAAGGATGGGATAGCTTTTAACTGTGGAAATGTGAATAGACCTTTCAAACATATTTAGAAGACCGACCTGGTGATATATGCACTTTTATCCCATTACATACAAAATCCTGTGCCTGCTGCTTGCATTTCATAGAACCATACCTGGTCTCCATGCCACATAATCACTGCATCAGTGTTTGGCCAATATTTAAGGTTAAAGCATAGGATTTCATGTCAATTCTGATACTGAACAAGTGGTTTGTTAACCAGAAAAAAACATAATGCTTGATTTATTGAATTTTTTTGGCTAGTTTTTCAGTAATATTTCAACCATGATTTGATTACAGTACAGTGCAGCATTACACCTCACTCAGCAGTTCAAATCAGTCACTTGTGTATCTTTGTCTAGTGGCTCTCAGAGACAAATATCATCACTAAGAGTCACCCACATATAGGGCTAAAAATCAAGTGATTTATTCCTCATTCTCTTCAATATATGAGGAGTAAGAGACTATAAATGCACTTGGTTTTTCTTTCATCTTGTAGCAACTCAAGTTTAATTTTTCTGCCTGGTTTACCTGTTTTGAATATATTTTCCAGGAACCAAGTTTATGAAGATTGCCTCATTGATATTTCCCCCAAACCTTTAAATCCTACTATAATGCGTGTAGGGTGTATATTCTGGGTTGAAGTGTCTCGTTGATCACATATGGCTAGTTTTTCAGTAATATTTCAACCATGATTTGATTACAGTACAGTGCAGCATTACACCTCACTCAGCAGTTCAAATCAGTCACTTGTGTATCTTTGTCTAGTGGCTCTCAGAGACAAATATCATCACTAAGAGTCACCCACATATAGGGCTAAAAATCAAGTGATTTATTCCTCATTCTCTTCAATATATGAGGAGTAAGAGACTATAAATGCACTTGGTTTTTCTTTCATCTTGTAGCAACTCAAGTTTAATTTTTCTGCCTGGTTTACCTGTTTTGAATATATTTTCCAGGAACCAAGTTTATGAAGATTGCCTCATTGATATTTCCCCCAAACCTTTAAATCCTACTATAATGCGTGTAGGGTGTATATTCTGGGTTGAAGTGTCTCGTATCTTTAAAACCATATCCTGCTTTAGTACATATTTTAAAAGCAAGCTCTTGTTGTTTCGTTAAGCTTGATAAAAAAATATTTCCAGGAGCCATTAACTAGCTAATACTAATACCAAAACAGCAATAAAAACTTCTAATGCTATAGACTTTTTTGGTTGGTTGATTTTCAGTTTGGTTTTACTTGGGGTTTTTTCTTTGTTTTTGGAAGGCAGAATGTGATTAGATACTGTACGATGTACACTACTGTAAGATGTAGTGTTCAACCACTACATCTTAGTCTCAGCTTCATATAAACAGCAGGAAAAAGGCTGCCTGGGCCAAATGTAAATCCACATGGTGAAAAAAGAGTTATTCTGAAACTTCTAAGAGACTCTCGTATAAACAGAACAAATAAAAGCCTGACAATGCCTACAAATTATTGTCTAATTGTCTTCACACATTCATTGTCGTTTCCCTTTGTGCTGTGCATTGCTTGAAACTTCCTTCTTCATTTTAGTTACAGGAAAGAATAAATGATCTAGAAAAAGAGAAGGAACTCTTGAAGGAAAACTATGATAAACTGTATAACAGGTAAGTTATGGTTTCTGTATATAAAAAGCTTCAGTCCTGTCCTTTTTAATAGGTTTTCATCTACTGTGTGCTTGAATGTGCATATCCATACTGTGTGCACACATGGGAATATATTTGTGCTACAGTTCATCATATCAGTAAGTGTGTATGGAAACTTTTACTGTGTTCCACCTGTATTTCATCTGTTGTGTTGAAACAGAGCAGTTTCCATACTTGTTCTAATACTCTTGAAATAGTAGATTACTTCTTTTGAAAAATCTAATTAAAACACAAGTAGAAGTCACTTCATTTTGAATATCAATGCAAAAAGTTCTTGAATTTGAATTTCTGATAATTTTTTTAGGGGTTTTCTTGAGAGAAGAGTACACCTAGTTAGACATATATTCCTCTGGGTTTATTTTATTTGGGGAAAGATGGTGTTTGAACTTTTTGTACAAATTCTTCCAGCACTTCTCAGTGGGTGTACATAAAGTCTTATATTTGACAGCTTCTCCAGTGTTAATCTTTGAGGGGTGGTTTGTTTATTTTGGTAATAGCTACTATTTCACTAGTACTGGTTCTGCTTGAAGTTTTTGTGTACACTTATCTAAGTTTTTACAAAGGTTCCTATGCATAAGAAATTGTATAAATTGTGTCAGCAGTGCTACAATGAAAATACATTGCCAGATATGATTCAGGAATTCCCTGGTACAGAAACAGAAGTCAATTGACACTTCAGGAATTCCCTGGTACAGAAACAGAAGTAATTCTAGTCAATTGACATGAGCGTATTAAAGGAAAAAATGACCTTCAAATGAACTTTTCCTTTGCTGTGAAACCGTGTGGTCTTTTACACTGAAGAGGATTAGAGAATAAGAGCAATTTCCTAGAGTTAATAAATGCCTTGGAAAGTAGATAAAATGCCTGAAGTTTATTCTCATATCAAAATTACTTATCCTCTTAAAGTTTGTTTGGTTTGTCAGTGGTGATGTCTGTCAAAAAAAATACCAATGAGTAAACACAATACAATGTGAGTGATATGTCAAATAGTGTTTATAGTATTCATACAATATTTATTATCATTTTTGTACTTTCTATGATGAAATTTAAAATTGTAGTAGTAAAAAAGCTGTGAGTACAAGTAGGTTAAAACACTTTTTTACATATGAGACGATATAATCACAATATTTAGAGTTTTGTTTCGGGGTAGTTGGTCAGTTGTCTCTCGGTTAAGTTTATTGTAGATTCCTCCAAAGTCTGATCATGTTATAAATATTTCTGAGTACTATTTTTTTTTTCTGTACTCTTCATGGAGAGAAATAGCTCTTACTAACAAATAAACTTATAACCTTGGCTTGAAATCTTCTGCTCTATTTAAGTCATAATGGGGCAACCTAAAATGATGTTTAACAATATAAATGTAAACATGGTTCTCTCATAACCCAGAAATCTATAATATGGCTTTTCATTTCCCTAAAATGAGCCTTTTTTTTCATAGTCTCCCACTTAAACTTTGATTCCTGTTTCATCATTCCATGTTACTATATAGGTATCAAGAAATTAGAAAGAGAAATGGATCGTTTTGTTTTAACTACTGTTTAATTGCCAACTTTTTCTGTTGCCCATTTGAACAATGTAACTTCACTACAGGTTACCTCTTGCCCAGGGGTGGATAGGCCAGTGTCCACAGGCACCAGATAATTAATAAATGTTTCTTTCTTTTTGAAATGGAGGATGAGACACGTAAATGCATTCTTTGCTAATGTTATTTTTTGGAAGTTCACTTGAAGTTGATGGGAATTTTGCCAAAGCCAGGACTGCAGAACTGGATCTGAAAAGTTTAGAAAGAACAAGTATGAATTTGTCAGTTGACTCTTATTATTTAGTCAGTATCCAAGAAAACAATTCGTTAGGATAAAAGGTTTGGAGGAATTGTTTTCATATGACCTTGTAATGCAAATCTAGCAATGCTTAAACTCCCTCCAAAGGAAACGGTGCCAGATGTGGTTGACCATTTATAGTTACCCAGATGGCTCCAACTCCAGTGAAGTACAGTAAATGTGAAAGAAAGTCCACATGAATTCAAGTAAAAGTAATCTTAAAATTCAAAGGAAGGAACTGACAGAAGTGGACTCAATTCAAACTGACGTAAACATTAACATTATATAGGCTTGGATAAAAACTGCCTTCTAAATTGGTCTTCATTTAAACTTCTGAATTACCATCACAGTAATTGTTAATGATTTTTCTGCCAGCATAGTCTTTTGAAAGACTGCAATAATGTGTAGTTACATCTTTATGTGAAGTAATCGTACCTCAAGATAATGAATGCACCTATAACTAGATATCATGGTCCTTAAAACTTGAAAACATTTTCAGAAGCGTGAGAACTAAGAGTATTTGATGTGTTTTCTTGCTAAGATTTATTCTTTTCTTATGGGATCTAATCAAGCTTTGAAGAGTGGTAAATCTAAGCAATTATGGAACACAATGTATCTCTTCTGTACCTATGTAGTATTATGGAAATTATTGTGGGTTCCTTGCATTATATTCACTGCATATTATCTTCAAAATTAGAGCAGAGTGAAGTATATATTGCTGTAGGACTTTGAAACATTGCTTAACTTCATGCATGCTGTAAGAGACCCTCTATGACACCATAAGATGGTATATGCCTAGAGAGCTGTGTAAGAACAGTATGAGAAAAAGATAAAATACAGAGAGATAGACCTGTTTCTATGAAGATCACAAATCAAGAATATAAACTCTTGCTATAGACTTCAGAGTCTACACTTCATGCTATGTGTTTGGTTTTTTTCTTTAAGTGCATCCTTCAAATGTATTAGATATAAATGCACTTAGTGTACTCAGAACAACTTTATTTAGTCATAGCCATCAAAACAGGAGTTCTCTTTCAGTCAGAGTGTACAGTCTTGGAAGCTATATGGGCTGTCCCTTCTGTGATATTTCTTTCTTTGTTTTTTTGGTTGAGGCTTTCATTACATAGATCTCTGGGAGGGATAGCTTGATAAATAAATATCAGAAGATTATTTTTTAAATGCATTTATAGATGTAAAAGATACCTTTTTTAACTGATGAGCTTCATCAAGGTGAAGAGTTGAGGAACTGAGTCTTCTGTTTTTTTAAAAAAAAAAACAAAACCAAAAACAAACCAAGTCCACCTACAATTTCTGATTTTTCACAGAATACAAAATTGAATAAACTGGTTTATGGTTGGTTAAGATGAAGGACATTTTTTTCAGTAAACAAGAATGATAATAATAATAATAATAATATGAAGACCATAGTTCTCACTGTCTAAATTATATGAAAGCACGCTGCATTGCTTGGTCTTTTTGCCTACTAGGAATTATACTGTAAATTATATAATGTACTTTATTTTGTTTCAATCTGAGTTACACATTGTGTTGTGGTTTCAGCAGTTCTGATTCTGTGTCCACGCAATCCTTATTGCACATAGATTGGTAGTTTACAAGTAAATAATGTGTTACAGGCAAAATAGTTATTCTAGTTTCTTTGCCCAACTCTGTTTTTTATTTCTTAAAGTAGGAAAAAAAGATTACTTTATATGTGCTTCTTAATCAGTATCAGAATTGTTGTTTTACAGTATGAGAAAACTGTTGTCACTTTGTGGTCAGCATTTCTTTGAATGGGCAACTGACTTTAGGCTCTGCGTGTTTCGCAGATTTAAAAGGAATCAGGTGGGTGATCCCAGCTCTACATTGAGAGGTTTTGTATGCGGAAAGAATGGTTTTGTCAGTTGTCAGTTGCTGAGGTTTGGAGTTGTGGATTGCTCTGGGATATGCATCTGAATTCCTTTTCTAGCCCCACAAATGTTGCATGCTGCCAACTTTTCTGACTTTGGAGCTCTAAATTAAGGCCAGTTCCTTTGCTCATCCCACAAACTCTTTCATGTTTTTTAACCGCAGCCTGAGCGAGGCGCCTTGGTTTCAACAGCAGCAGACCAGCATATGTTTACTTAATTCCTGAGACATGATGACAGTGGTCTCTGTGCCACTAAAAGCTTTTTTCTTTATTATTTTCTGTTGAAGCTGATTTCTTAAAGTTTTTCACATGCCACATGTTTTATTGCAGTGTCTTCAGTATGACCCATGAACAGGAATGGATATTAAAGGAACAGCAACTGAAACAGCAAATTGCTGAACTAGAGACTGCTATCAAGTTTGATTTAGCAGACAAAAATGAAATCCTTGACAAAATCAAAGTAGAAAGAGGTATATTTCTGAAATAACTATCATTTTCTGGTGATGTGTGATTCTCCTGTGTGGGAGTTCAGGTATATTGCCCAGAAAAGTTAGTGTCTGTTGCTGGTGATTTCAGAGCTGCCTTTTAAATGCACATTTGAACAATACGCTTAAGTTAGGACTAGCTATTAAGTACAGAAATTGACCCAATGCAAGTTACGTGCTGCATGAGGATCCCATAACTCCAGATGCATTCATTCTTCATCTGATGCATTAATATTTACTCTTTATTCTGTATTTTTCTTTTTCTCTACATTGAAAATTCCTATGGAAAAGAGGACCATCTCACAGTCACTCTCAAATTGTACAGTAAATAACGTTAGAATAGTGGTTTACAAAGTTACGTGAAGCCTATACAGGCCCTTGAAGATGGTTAATTGTATTTCAACTTTGTGAATTCAGAATTTTTTAATATTTTCAGTATACACTAATTTTTATTTACAGCTACATATATTTACAATAATACAGTTTTCTTTCAATCTACTGAACAGTTTCTTTTACATGTGTTTTTCTTGTGCTGTAGGACCACTTCTCAGTGAATCTTAAAGACCTTGCAATCTTTTATTTTTTTTATCTCAATACCTGAATATACTGTAGCAACATAAAGTTTACAAAGCAAGAGCACTAGCAGGAAGTAAACGAAATATTTTTAGAGTTGCTTCTTCAAATCTGTACTTTTAAAAGGTGTATTTCTGTGAACAATCTAATGGAATGAAGTGGGCCTGCTTGTGAAAAATTCTTCGTATGACGATGGCTCGAGTTCAGCGTACGCTTACTATTAAGATTCTGAGTAGTTCTACTTACTTCAAATACCAGATTAAATATTTAAACATTTTATTTGACCACAGCAAGTGTTTGCAAAATTAGCCTAAGTGATACTAAAATAAATAAGATGTCTTAAGCTACAATGATATGAATTTATGACATATTGACAGTTAGAGACAGTTAATGGCAATTTGATCATGTAATGCAAAATTTAAAGTGATATTAAGAGCATGAAAATATTATAGGCCATACTATTATTTGGTTAAGTTGAATGTGGAAAATCAGGGAACACTTTCTGTCGTCTGTCCTTTCTGTGGTCACTGTTTTTAAGTGGCAAATCTTTACTGCCCTTTCCCCAGATTGGCACTTAATTGCTTGTTGTCCTCTTAAACTGGATCACCAGGTTACTACACTTTCCATTTCTACTGCATTGAGTCCATGTTGTCAGACCCTTCAAGGCCTGTGTGTGTATCTAGGATTTGATTATGGCTTCCTGTCTTTGACAAAACTTAGGCAGTGTTTTGTAATACTTAGAATAAATACATTTAGGCAGAAAACAGCATAACTTATTTCACATTGTGACTACATTTGCTCCCTGCCCCCCCCTTTTTTTTTTTAATAATATAATTTTTTTCTTGTTTTTTTGATATCTCCCACATTCTCAGCCATAAATTACAAAAGCTGTTTGGTTCATTGTGTCTTCCTGACAGCGTTGTTTTGTGCAATTCTCAGAAGGCTGAGATAAACTAATACAAAGTCTAAGTTGAAACAATTACTATAGCAAGGATTTGTGTCACTTATCTCATAAATTCATACCGTATATGTCCTCACTTGGTAATATTTATGCCTAAATAATGTTTGTTTTTCATTAATATAATCATTTGCTGTTCATAGTTATAGTACTGTTTTACACAGAGTACACTGTTTACTACTGTTTTTTACAGTTGTCTTGATGGGCAAATATTCTGTGTCAGTTAAAGCTGACATGAAATATATGAGTAAAAATTATGTTTCCCTCCCTAAATACTGTTCTTCTGTTCATAAAACTACCCCAGAACATCAGCATAAATACAGTTCCAGTTTTACCCCATGGGCTACCAAAGAAGGCAATCCTGTTGCCCAAAATTGGACCTAGACAAATAGAGCATTTGGCAAGGGATAGGATAGAAGCTCTTGTACATGGTGGTGGGTAGATGATGGGAAAGTAGGCAAGTTGGCTTCAAAGCAAATACTTTTTATGTCCAGGGAAAGGCAGCTGAACATCAGCATAAATACAGTTCCAGTTTTACCCCATGGGCTACCAAAGAAGGCAGTCCTGTTGCCCAAAATTGGACCTAGACAAATAGAGCATTTGGCAAGGGGGAGGGAGAGGATAGAGAATACAGTTCCAGTTTTACCCCATGGGCTACCAAAGAAGGCAATCCTGTTGCCCAAAATTGGACCTAGACAAATAGAGCATTTGGCAAGGGAGAGGATAGAAGCTCTTGTACATGGTGGTGGGTAGATGATGGGAAAGCAAGCAAAATAAGTCTCCATTGGCTTCAAAGCAAATACTTTTTCTGTCCAGGGAAAGGTAGCGGTGGCTTTCTTCTCCCCTGACGTTGTACCTGGTTGGTACTAGTTGGTCTATAAGAACTCTTTCTGTGAATTTATGTAGGGGGTGAACAAATGCAGAGGTTTTTGCTGATTATGATTCTAATTATTTTCATGTTTTGTGAATATGGACAAGTGTTCCATGTGGAAGACACCTGTGCGAATTGATTTAAATGCTGCTTTTGGATATTGCATATATTGGCACAACATGTATTTTGGTTAGAGCTGAATGTTATTATACAGTGCCTTAGGTGTCTTAGAAAGCACTTACCAGCACAGAGTGCCACCTGCAAATCTGTAGCCTGCTTCCACTTGTGGCTCTGTAGCCTTTCACACAAGCTGCTGTGGAGGTGTTCTCCAAAGCCTTTGGGGAAGTTTTTTCTCTCTTTCTTGTGCTGTTACTGTCATGGCCTGGCTACTGAAAACCTTGATACCATTGTGATGATGTGTTCTTGTGGGATGTGGTCACCAGTGGTGTGAGGATTGCCTCTTCTCTCCCCCCCCCTCCTTCCCCTTCAGTTGCAGCTTTTGGATTAAATTAAGGACACAAGCTAAGCAGCAGCATCAACCCTGATCCAAGTGTGCTCCCATCAGTGCTGATGGTATTATAAGTGGAAACAAACAATAGAGAATTTGAGTGGCTCCTGATGAAAAGCAGTGTACTTCTATGGGAAAACTGAATGGCAGGACCCTCCTCTCACTTCCGCTCCCTAAAGGCTGTTGCAGAAGTATTCCTTTTCCTCCTGCCTCTTTCCCTGCATGTCTTGCATTTTTATCTTTGGTTGGGATGATTGAGAAGCAGCCTGTTGGGAATCTGGAGAGGCAGCATGGGTAGTGCTGAGCTAGGCTGAGCTGGGCTATTGACAGATTGGCTCGTTTTTGTTCAACAAGCTGTTAAAATTACCTCAGTTTGAACAAAAGCTAGTTTCCTTTTACACAGCATTTACAGTTTTGAAGTGAACTTTTTAAGCAGCAAGTGTGAATGAATATTAAAGATGTATACAAAAACTTCTCTGGGGTTCATGGCAGAAAAAGAGTGGACTGAGCTTGCTGCTACTGTCAGAAAGTCATAACAATGAGAGAGGGGTGATGCCTTGTCTCCTTATCCCTGGAAAAAGTGCCAGTTCAGATCTCAGTTTATATTGTAGGGAAAAGAAATGACATCAGCATGAGGGGCCCCTCCCAACAGATACAGGTCTTTCAGGTATGTTGTTTGGGAGAGTCCCCAAGACTGGACTTCACCATCTTTTATGAAGTCCTGCCTTCTCTGCCCATTCACAAGGCATATTTTAATTGTTTTCTTACTTTCAAACTTTTAGCCCTTAGTGTTTCTAATTAGATTTTCTTCTCAATTGCACAAATGCATTACATTTTCCTCATAACTGAAGAAAATTAAAACCTTACTGGTGATTATGTGTTTGAATTGAAAGTGACTCTTGTGGAATCCCGACACATGTACGAGTCGGGCTACTGTGTATAGGAGCAATGGCATTAACTGATTCATTTTTAGAGAAGATGTCATTTGATATATAAACCCTGCAAGACTAAAACTAACCTGATGTCAGTTTTTCCAACATTTCAAACCCCTTGAGGTCAGCATCTCAGCCACCTGTTCCCTGCTGAGTTCAAGCCTCTAAACTGAAAAGCTAATCTATAGAAATAGCTGCGCTGTGCATCACGCCCTCAGGGGCAACAGAAAAGATTCCAGCATTGAAAAGATATTGTGAACTATTTTGTTGAAAGCAGTAGAATGTGTTCTCAACTAAGTATGTAATGTTTTACCAATCAAATCCCACGAGTGCAGATGGGAATTACAAAGGCTAGTACTTGCACATCAGGTTGACAGTTAACATTTATATAATTCTGACCTAAAATATGAATTCATAGTATTTAAGTACATTGTATGAGAATATAACTTTGGGACTTTCAAAAAACACAGGAAAAAATTGAAGGGGAAAAAACCTTGTTATCAAGAGAATAAGGAGTTTGACGAAGGAAGGAGAGAGAAAGCAAAGAGAGTACTTTGGTTCCTTAGAAACCTCAGTGATTTTGAGAAAAGGTTGCTTTTAAGACTTTTCCATGTAGAAGTAGGTATGTTGTTATTATTACATTTTTTTCGGCTAATCCTTGGGTTTTTTTCTCACAACTCACTGAGAAATCATTGTGCACGTAGCTATGCATCAGTGGGTGTTTGGGTAGAACCTGTGTAACCTACCGGGAAGTTTAATGGTGTTTGGTAAGTCATTCAGATTGGCAGAGTTTTATATCCTCTCTACTCCCCTCTTCTCTCCCTTCCCCCAAAACAGAAAGCTGTACTTTGTTGGACATATCTTTCTATTTAGAAATATTCAAAGTGTAGATTTTTGATGCTGTAAGTTCTCTTTTAACAAAAGTAAGAATGTTTTGCTTTTTTTAATCCATATACCTGTATCAGATCAAAGAGTAGTTTTCTGTCCCTCTCTTTCTCTCTTGTTAACATCAAAGTTTTCCCTAAACAAAATAAATTAGTTTCTACATTTTGAAATTAAATTTTTATGCGTAAGCTAATATAAAAAGCAAGTTTATAATTTTTATAAGTATGTTGCATTAAGTAGAGTATTCTGTTCTTTTTCTATCTTAAGATGAAAAGGAAAAGCTGATGCAAGAGAACAAAGACCTGCAGTTATGCTACCTGGAACATAAGCAACAACTAGATGAACTGAAAAATCATGTGAAGCTTTTGACCGAGGTGAACTCTATTTCTGTTTCGAATATGAGGAAAAAATAAAACCCATTCTATGTTTTATGCATAGTGCAAGTACTTCTTGAAAGTAAAAGAATACAGAAATATAGCAGTGTTTGTTTATTCATGATATCAAGCAAAATGTCATGTCGAGTGAGAAAGCATCTTGATATTCGGAATGTATTTCTTCGATATCCATTCACAGCTGATAACACCTTTTCATTAAGTATTTCTATTTCAGGAAAGTGATATTGATGTGGCAGAACTCAATGAAGCCCTCTTGCATCTAAAGGTAACTCACAAAGAATGATCGTTGATGTGGCAGAACTCAATGAAGCCCTCTTGCATCTAAAGGTAACTCACAAACAATGATTGTAAGAGGGTTTGGAACTAGATGATCTTTAAGGTCCCTTCCAACCCAAACTGTTCTATGATTCTATATATTTTGCATTTATTCTTTTTTTTTTTTCTTAACCCCTTGGTTGACCATTACATGTTTTGTACACACCGCCAGGGATTATCAAGGGCTAATTTATTTGTGCATCTTTTAGTAGTGAATGCTTCCAGCCCGTATTTGTGCTTTTGTCATTTTTCAGTTACAGTGAAGCAGAAGGGAAAATGAAAAATTTCCCAGGATGAAATGTAGAGTTGTGTAGATAATTCATTGTAACATCAAAAGTGAATTAAACCAGATTCAGAAGCACTTTAAAAAAAAATATTTACTCTCAGTTAAATTATGATATCTTGCTTTTCCTATAACATTTATTAAAAAACAATTTTTGTTTATCAATTCTGTAGTGTGTGTGAGTGGACTATAAGTGTGGAAGTTCTAAAACGTGATACAGCGATGCTTAGCAACTTCTCTTTGTTAGTTACAGTGGAAAACCAAAAATACCCAGATGATGTTCTAAGTTGTAACTTTATTGTTTACAGTGAAATTGAAAATGAAGTGGGGGAGAGGGAAAGAAATCAGTGAAAAAATAAGTTTGCATTAAGTTTCCACTGTGCCAGTGCCTTACGTTGTATTTCCTTGAAGGAAGTGTTTACTGCCAATAGAATCTTTTTCTGCCGCTGAAATGCAAATGATAATTCTATAATGATAATGAAAAAAAGCAAAATACCCAACCAAACAAAACCCTATATGGAAACTAAAATCCCAGTATTAGTAACAGAAGCAATGTAGACTTGAGAATAATAATACAGCTTTTGTACATTCACTGAAGGAGGATTATTAATTGTATAAAAGGCAAATATATTAAGGGGTTTGTGCTTTCATTGGATAGAGAGGAGTGATTGCTTCTGAATATCTCATACATTTTAATTGGTTCCTGATAATTACAAGATCATATTACTGAATACAATCCTGACACTGGTCTACCTCATTCCTATTTTTTGTTACCTCATGCCCAAAATTTACAAAGTTTTGCTTACTGTCTTATTGTTTTTCCAAAATTATACCCCAGTGTTACGTTTAACCAGCAAAAATAAATCCAAATATTTTGCAGAAGTTTGTTGTAGTAATTTTTCAAATTCGCTTCAGGTTCAAAAGCAGCAGAAGAACGGGGACCTTATTTCTTTGGAAAAAGTAGAAGATGATATCCATAAAGATTTGGAACACTCCATGCGGGAGCTGCAATTAACACATGCTGAAACAGTGCAAGAACTTGAAAAGACAAGGAATATGTTAATTGTGCAGCACAAAATTAACAAAGGTTACCAGGTACTAAACTCTACTTGCAGTGGAAAATAGCCTGATAATAACATATTAACAGGCACTGAAACTTGTAATAATTAAGACTTGCAAATTCAGCAACAAAGCCAGTCTGCTTATCGATAATATAAGATCTGCTGTTGTTGAAAGTATTGTTTAAAAAGCATGAGACCCAAATGACTATAACATCAGCGTTTTAGATCAGAGGCCTCAAACCTTCCTGGGATTATCTCTGAGCTCTCAGCAGGTCCTCACAGGAAAAATAGTTGTGTACTTACCAAATAAGCTTCCTTTGCCACAACACTCTGCTTTTACTCTCTTGCGCTGGATTACCGCAGGTCATATTTTGACTTTTCATTTAATTAATACAAGTTTAAAGTAACAAAATCATTACAGAAACTATTGCGACCATTGTGCTGAAATAATAGTCTGTTTTTCCTAATAATGTTTTTTAGATTTTGCCAAAACTCAAACTGATTTCTGTATTGCTGAATTAAAAATGGCTGCTCTTTTTGTGTACTCTAAATGTTCTTTCCTCACATCTAATTTTATTTTCATTTGTAGCCAAAAGTATGTGCAGCATCAGTGCAGACAAGCCTCACAAGTCCTTTTTACATGCTTATTTTTTTCAGGCTGAAGTAGAAGCAGTGACACAGAAAATGGAACATCTACAGAAAGACTATGAGTTAAAACTGGAACAGTATGTCCGTCTTCTTGATATCAGAGCTGCACGCATCAGAAAACTAGAAGGTATCTTTATATTCCTCTTTTTTTTTTTGATGTTTTATCTCCTGCAAATAATTATTGTAGAATTATTTCTTAGTTCCTAAAACTAGTAGAAAGGTCAGTTCTTTGATGGAAAATAATCTGTGTGATGTTTCATTGACTTAAGTGATAAAGTTATTAATCAAACAAAATTCAACAAAGCAGTTTATACTACTTAGATTTATCTGCTGCTAAAAAATCCTAAAGTAATATACCTACAGAATATTTCAGTATGATGAATTTAAAATGCTGTTTTAATGGCTTCAGTGTGTAAAAGGTGCACAGGAAGCCTGAAATTTTGTGTTTTAATTCTGTAAGCATGTATTTTGATTTGTTTGCCATTTACCACCTGTGAGGCCAGGCGACATGGAAAGGTCTTTGCTGATAGTTCCATCCTCTCAAGATATTACAGAGGTTGAAAGTCAGATCTATTCTTTCTTTCCCTGGCAAATTTAGTTCAACTCTACAAAAATATGTATCTTATGTCTCTGCTATGTTTACATAGTGGTACTTATTTTGATCACTGCATAAGACTTCTGAATTTTTGCTTGATAACTCCCTTGTAATCTATTATTAATTGTTAGGGGTCTGTGTCTATTTTTACATCTATTGAAGCAGCTCCATGGTGGGGGTGTTCCTGATTGTTGTCATTGTGCTAAATGAGCAGTAGATGTATGATTTTAAGTGTGGTGTGGTTTTTGGTAATGCCTTTAGGAAAGTAACATTGTTAATATAATTGAATTATGCTTTTTTCCTGTCGACTCGGTCATTAACTATATTTTAAACAAGATGGTCATATTGTAGCTCTATTTTATTTTATTTGTTGCAGCCCAACTAAGTGATATTGTCTATGGTACAACACCGCATAAATCCAGGCCAGAAGTATTGCCAGGTGATCCAGTGGATGAATTTGATGAAACTTTGCATTTACGAAGAGGCGAGAACCTTTTTGAAATCCATATTGGCAAAGTGATCTTCTCTTCTGGAGCTATGCACGCTTTTGGAGACCACGAACCTGCCACTTTTTGTACTTATGCCTTCTATGACTTTGAACTTCAGATAACCCCGATAGTTTACGGGCGCACCCCGTCGTATGACTTCACTTCTCAGTACGTTGTGCAGGCCGACAACTGCTTCTTGCAGTATGTACAGCAAAGCACTATCACACTTGAAGTTCATCATGCCTATGGCACAGAGTATGAAACGTTGGCTGAATGTCAACTGAAGTTTCACGAGATCCTGGAAAACAATGGGAAGATCCACAGCACGGCAAACTTAGTTGGTAATTAACGTGTTAAGTATTCTGTTTGATGCAGTATTGGAAGTGACAATGAAGTAATGTGTATTTGGCCAAAAATGAGTTCATGTATTACTATTTCAGAAGCAAAAAAAGAGGTTTACACAACATGATATTTCCTGTTGGATGTGCAGAATGTTCTGGTGATTCTGGAGCACTGGAAGGGGCTGCCCAGAGAGGTGGTGGAGTCTCTGTCTCTGGAGATGTTCAAACCTTTCCTGGGACACGTCCTGTGCAACCTGGACTAGGTGATCTCCAGAGGTGCCTTCCAACCCCATAGCATTCTGTGATTCTGGGAGTTGTGGAAAAGCTCTTACAGGTGCAATTTTGCCCTTAGTGGCTGAGGACAAAGATGGCGTTAGTGTAGTGATCTTGAAGTATGTGGTGCTAAAAGTATGTGACATGCTGGAAATGGTATTAGAAAATCTTGTCTGAAAATAGAAGTGATTCATTGTCTTGTGTAAAGATTACTTGCAAAGTGCTACTACTCCACAGGTATAGAATTTTAATAAAAGATGGTATCACTTGACTCAACAGAATTGTACAGGAAAAACCATGGAGAGGGTAGTTAGTAGAGCAGTGTACTCGATTGCATTGTAATACTAGTCGTATGTTAGCATTTCTTTATGAATACTGCAGAGAAGATATTTAAAAATAAGACTGATATTCTTTTTCGTTTTGCTTTATTATATTACTTTTAAAAGTATTCTGTCAGATCGGTATATTCAGAGACCTCTAACTACCTACTTTTGTCAAAAATTTGGTTTAATAAGCTGTCGTAAAGTGGTATTTTTGCCAGTAATTTAAACTGCATACCACTTTGTGGGACTCTTCCAACTGTTGAGATATAAAACTTTCCTAAGCTTTACTTGCCTTAAAGGGATTATAAATAATGAACTTGACTATATGGACAGTAAATATTGCAGATTACAGTATGAAAAAGTGGTCATGTTTTGGTGTTGGATCATACATGTGGAGCCAGAGGAGTTGTTGTTTCTGATCCTAAGATGAACTGCACCACTTATGCCCCAAATGCTGTCATAATGCTTAGTCACAAGAGAACTAAGTTTTAATTTGTGGGGTTTCCTAGCTTTTGATGTAAGTACTTCAATTTTGAAAAGAAAAATAATGCAATCCCATATGTATTTATTCCTCAGGAGTCAAAGAAAACATTCAAAATTATGGTAGATTAGAATACTGGATCAGGTTACGAGTTCCTATGGATCAAGCTATTCATCTCTACAAAGAGAGGTCAAAGGCTCTGGGATATATAACATCCGGTTTGAGGGAACGTGAACAACCATCCCAGGTGTGTTTGGGTTTGTACTTCATAGTTTTGATAGAGTAAACTGTTCAAAAGTAAGTTTTTCAGTTCAAATAGTTTCCTTCAAGTCTCTATATGTTCAAGGTTAACTAAATTAAAGGTTTTTGAACTGAAAAATATCTTCAGCAGTAGAATAACATGTTTTTCGTATAAAGAGGTAAAGAACTAGTTGAATTATACCTTTACTCAAGAGACATCGTCCTAAACTTCAGTTCTTTTTTTTTTTTTACTGGAATCATCACTAGAATATTTGAAATTATTACTTTTAATTTTCTTAACCTGTAAGTGCCAAATTTTGTTAACGTTTTGTTCTAGTGCAATATTCAGGAATGTTAAACCAACCGAGTCTCAGATCAGTAGAACAGGTGAAGTAGTCGGTCAGAAAAATCTCTTAAGTTCTTAATGTCTGAGTATTGAGATTGAAATTATTTCATGGTGGGGTTTTTTTGCTTTTTTTTAAATCAGTAGAACAGGTGAAGTAGTCGGTCAGAAAAATCTCTAAGTTCTTAATGTCTGAGTATTGAGATTGAAAAGATGGATAATGGAAAGAATTTTGATAATAAAATGCACTATATAATCATGTTTAAATAAGGGTCACAGAGACAGAAAGGACTTTCAGACATCTTTAATAATTTTTTTAGAAATAAAAACCATCAGGTTGAAATGCATAAATTGAAACACTTCAGAGTTGCTAACAGGCAAATTTTTTTATCTATCGCTGTTTAAATTACTGACTGGAGTAACTTTAATGTTTTATATTCTTCCATAATGTAAATTTCTGTTATACCAGAATCTCAATGGATTCCATGATTTAATGTGAGAAATATGTTTAGTGTATGATTTCTATTAAAGGTCGGCGTAGGCATTTTTTAGAATGACTTTGTGTTTGATAACATTGTAACATTTGCTTTAAATCTGATTTTTTAAAGAATCAAAGGTATTTTTAACAAACTCGCCAAATCTGGCTGTTGTTAAATGCCAAAATCTGTTATTTAGTTTTCTCTATTTTTCATGATGATATTTCTAGCTGTGTTACCAATCCAAACACAGTTGAAAGGTAAGGCCTGTGGAACGCAGCATTTTGCCCTAATTGTTGTAAAATTGCAAATTCAAACATGGCAACTGAAATACAGTGATTACATGGGAGCAAATAAAATAGGAAAAACAGCAGAAATCAAGAGCAGCTTCTACAGAACTGTTTGAAACGCCACAGTTTTCAGAAATGTTTTATGGCAGCAACCAAAAGTCTTACAGCTATAGCAGATGGTTACGTTTTATTAAGGGTTCTGTCAGTCTGCAGCTGCAAAAGTAGCTGCAGTTTTGTGTTCCGAAATTTAAGCTTTCACTATTTGAACACACACATAAAATTTTCTGTCCTGTGTGGCAGGCAGAAATCCTGGAAACATGAACTGTACATAAACTGCTATAATTCTTTTTTCTAGTTCTGTATGTAGCCAGAAACAGTAGTCTTAAGGTTGCATATTAAGGACTTCAACTGTTGTGTTTGGCTTTCTCATTAACTATTTCAGTGTGGGTTATTTAATCAAAATATTTCACATTTTATCACACCAAGTCAAATCTTCAGATGCTGATTTCTAATTTTTGTAAGTTGTTTATGTAGGTAAAGGGTTTGGAGGAAGAAAAAGCCAGAGGAATCTGCAGTGCAGTTTTATTATTGAAAAGTACATATAAAAGGGACTACAGTTATAAAAATTTCTTGATACAGAATAGCTGTCAAGATCAGAATCCTTAGAGGCACTAGATATGAATCACTCTTAAAACTGTGATCTTCACTGCTTTGTAGATAATCAAATGACAAGTAGATCATAAAACTTTAGAAGAATAAAGCAAACAATCACAGACCTGAACGGATTAACCTCTTATTTCCTTACACCAACAACCCAAGAGATGTCAGTGAATTTATAGAACAAGTAATATTTTGACATATAAAATTAGACAGTAGTTGGAGTGTCATTGAAATACTCAGTTATTTGTTCTATTTATATAGCTCTTAGAGTTTGCCAACATAAGAATTCTAATGTTTTTAATTTAACTTCTTTTTCATTTAAAGCAGCAGATACCCAGAACTGCCCAAGTCAGCACTTCAACAGATGGCAATTTAAATGAGCTCCACATTACAATAAAATGTTGTAACAATCTACAATCCCGAAAAAAACATCTTCAGCCAAATCCTTATGTTGTCTACAAGTTCTTTGATTTTGCAGACCATGATACTCCCATCATCCCTAGCAGCAACAACCCACAAATAGATGACCATATGTGTTTCCAAGTGCCAATGAATGCAGATTTAGACCGATACCTAAAGTCAGAATCCTTAAGCTTTTATGTATTTGATGATGGTGAAACGGAAGAAGGTGCTTATGTAGGGAAAGCCAATGTGCCTCTTATTTCTTTAGCACATGACAGATCTATCTCAGGTAAGAATTAGACCTCTGTAAACTTAACTAAGTCTTCACTTCTGTTTTCTGTATCTTTAAATCTCTGTGAGAACCAAACCAAAGAAATGCTCTTCAGAGGGTTATCTGGATGGGTTGGCTTGATGGGCTGAGGCCGGTGGTATGAGGTTCAACAAGGCCAAGTGCCGGGTCCCACACTTGGGTCACACCAACCCCCTGCAGTGCTACAGGCTGGGGGCAGAGTGACTGGAGCTGCCTGGCAGAAAAGGACCTGGGGGTGTTGGTCGACTGTTGGCTGAACATGAGCCAGCAGAGTGCCCAGAGTGGGCGACAACATCCTGGCCTGTATCAGGAACAGTGTGGAGAGCAGAACTAGGGAAGTGATTGTCCCCCTGTACTCAGCACTGGTGAGGCCCCAGCTCAACTACTGTGTCTCATTTTGGGCCCCTCACAACAAGAAGGACTTGGAGGTGCTGGAGTGTGTCCAGAAAAGGACAATGGAGCTGGTGAGGGGTCTGGAGAATAAACCTTATGAGGAGCAGCTGAAAGAGCTGGGGATGTTCAGCCTGGAGAAAAGGAGGCTGAGGGGAGACCTCACTCTCTACAGCTCTCTGAGAGGAAGGTGTAGTCAGGGGGAGGTCGGTCTCTTCTCCCAAGGAACAAGAGATATGGGACAAGAGGAAACAGCCTCAAGTTGCACCAGGGGAAGTTTACATTGGAGATGAGGAAAAATTTCCTAATATCTGTGCTAGCTACTGTGTTATGAGTATCTTTCATTATTAGGTAGAAAGATCTTAACATCGGGTGAGAAAGGGTGGCTGAAAGCTGACTTTAAAAATTTACTGCTTTCATAATTGAGAAGACACCTGTGAAACAAAATTAGTAGGTGCCATGAAGTAATTCTTGAAAAAGGAATACATCAGGTGTTTCTGTCTGGTTCAAGATTAACCTAGAAATATTTGATATCTTCTTTTACTGGTCCTTTTTTATGTTCTCATGATAAAAAAGGTTCGCTGGCATATATGTACTTTCTCCCACCTCCTCTTCTTCTGATGTAGCTGCTTCTTCCTTTTTTCAGGACAGATACGCTAATTTATAACATGGTTTCTTTTTCTGCATGGCTTCATATTTTTTTTTCTCATTAGTTTCCTCTTTTCTAGTTTTGGCTAGCATACACTTAAAATAAATTTGAAACATGGCATCAGAAATCAGCCTATTTGGGGGGGAAAATTGATCAAGAGCTACACTTGGCATGTGAGAATCATTGGCAGCTGGGACTCCTGGTGTCATCTAAACCAACCCTCTGACCCAGTTCAAGCAAGTTGTGCAGGACTTTGCCAAGTTAGATGTTGAATATCTCAAAGGACAGAAGTCTAGTTCGTGCCTGGTCAACTCGTTCCAATGTTTGATCACCCTCATGATAAAAACTTTTCTTTCACAGAGCTGGGGTTTCCCGTGTTCCAACATGTGTCTGTTGGCTGCCCTCCTGCTGAGCACCTCCCGCTCTGTCTTTTCCACACCTTCCTATGAGATGGCAGTAAGATCCCCTCTGAGCCTCCTCTTCTGAAGGCTGAACAAATCACTTCTTTCAGCCTCTTCTCTGTCATGTCCTCCAGTGCCCTGAAGCTCTGTGTAGCCCTCCACTGGACCTGCTCCAGGATGTCAATGGCTTTCTTGTGCTGCAGAGGCCAGAATTGGGCAGAGTGTTCCAGATGCCATCTCACAGGTGTCGAGTAGAGAAAAAGTGCAACTTCCCTGGACCTACTTGATTGCATTCGTGCTAATTCAGGCCAGGGTGGAGCTGTTATTCTTTGCTGCAAAGACCTACCTTGGCTGGCTTGTTTAATTTTTGTCAAACAGGAGCAGCTCTTTTTTCTGCAAGGCTGCTTTTTTCCAATCAACCCCCAGCCTGTGCTGCTACTTGGGGCTGTTCCTGGGCGGATGCAGGACTTTGCATTTGCTTTTGCTGACCTTCATGAGGTTTCCATCAGCCTGTTTTCCAACCGTGTGAATAGTAGCCCTGCCCTCAGTCCATCAACTGCTTCCCTCCAAGTTGATATCGGTTACAAATTTACTAGAGCATTTACAATATAAAAGCTGCTTAATGATTATTTCGTTGTCAACTACAAGACATTTGTGAAAATTTTAAAATAAGATTCTATAATTATCCCATAGAAATGGGTAATAGGAGAAAATTTTCAAGTGAATTTAGGGTGTTTCTACTTTGATAAAGATTTAGCAACTCACAGATTTTTAAAACCCTTTTATTTTTGTTAATAAAAGAAAATGTTAGTAAAACATGGAAATGTTTTAGTTGAATCTTTTGAAATATGTCAATAAGAATTAGTTATCTGGTATTGGAATATCTGAGAAAACTTCAAGACATCTTGAACGAAGACAGTAATCCAGCCCCTCAAGTGAATTTAGGGTGTTTCTACTTTGATAAAGATTTAGCAACTCACAGATTTTTAAAACCCTTTTATTTTTGTTAATAAAAGAAAACGTTAGTAAAACATGGAAATGTTTTAGTTGAATCTTTTGAAATATGTCAATAAGAATTAGTTATCTGGTATTGGAATATCTGAGAAAACTTCAAGACATCTTGAGCAAAACCAGTAATCCAGCCCCTTCTAAATCTTGTGGGTTTGAAATGTATATAATGTAATATTTGGATTTACAAAACACAGTATTTTGACACTATTTAGCTGGTAAAATGAAGACTATAAAGTTACTTAATTCCTTAATCCTCTTCAGTTTTGCATTGCATTTTCTTATATAAGATAATTTAGATAAGATAACTTAGACAAGTTTTGCATTTTGCTTCCAGGGACTTTTGAACTAACAGATCCTGGAAGACGTGCTACTGGTACCATCACAGTTGAATTAAAATGGAAGTTTGCCTACCAGCCACCAAGTGGATCGACAATGGGTGAAGACTTGGGGGATTACATTCAAAATGAGAAATCAATGGCAACTAAATTGCTGCCAGAGGAAAAAACACAGACTGCAGCTCTGTCTCCTTCGTTTACTCCATCAGTGACAGTAAGTAATTTAATGAACTCAAAGAAGTTGAGATATAAAAGACCTATTACAGTAGGTTGATTAGTTCTTCCCTGATGACCACAAAAAAGACATTGAGGGGCTGGAGCGGATCCAGAGAAGGGCAATGGAGCTGGTGACGGGTCTGGAGCACAAGTCTTGTGAGGAGAGGCTGAGGGAGCTGGGGGTGTTCAGCCTGGAGAAGAGGAGGCTGAGGGGAGACCTTCTGGCTCTCTCCAACTCCCTGAAAGGAGGGTGTAGCCAGGGGGGGTTGGTCTCTTCTCCCAAGTCACAGGCGATGGGACAAGAGGAAGTGGCTTCAAGTTGATATTAGGAACAATTTTTACAGTGAAAAGGTTATGAAACCTTGGACTGGGCTGCCCAGGGAGGTGGTTGAGGCACCATCCCTGGAGGTATTTAAAAGATGGGTTGACACAGTGCTTAGTGACATGGTTTGGTGATGGTTTTCATCAGAGTTAGGTTGATGGTTGGACTAGATGATCTTAAAGGTCCCTTCCAACCCAGACAATTCTATGATTCTATGACCAGGACTTGTTCTTACTGTAAAGAAGATATCCAGCATCTTCAGCATCTTTTGGGATGTGAAATCTTTCTCATGTCCAAAACTTTAAAAAGTCTTTTATAATGATAGATAGCTGGTTAGCAAAAGGGAGGGGAGAAAACGGAGGAGAAATAACAAACATAGATGTCTTCCCGATAAATCTAGTACTTATTAATTCTGTTTCCAATGTAGATGTCCTACATAAAATGTAGTTACAAGCTTCTGCAATTTCAGGGCAATGGTTGCAATTTGTGACAGTCCTCAAATCAGCTGTTATTTCTGTGGTCTCTTAGAAACTCAGACAGAAACCAGCCAACTGGGGTAGCTTTGACCCAAAAGAATTCTCAAGCAGCCAGACCGAAGCCATGTGGACAGATACCTAGGTGTTTCTGTGCTGCGCTGTTATTCTGGTGCCTGGAGCATGGTGCTAAGATACCCAATAGCTTCTTAAAAACCGCTTATACATTAAAAGTAGTGTAAGGATATTTTTTTTTTTTTTAACTACAAAAATCACTGGAAGTGGAAGATAATGTCTACCATTGTCATGAGAGTAAAACGTTAAGGGTAATAAACCACTTCTATATTAGCTTTTTTCTATTGTATTATAATACTCTAACAGAAATATTTCCAGATCATTTTGTTAATTTTGCAACTATTGCCACTCTATTTTCTGTTTCTGCATTAAAATTCTCCAAAGGGAGTGGGATGAGGAAAGGTGACAAAGATACAGTAAGCCTACAGAACAAGAAAAGTAATCAAGCAGTCCATAAATGATAATAACTAATATTTCTGCCGCATATATGATGCCACTGAGTTCAGTCCTACAATTATTTCTCGCCTGGAATTCACATTGCATTCTGTAGACGTTCTCTTGAGTTTTTATACTCATTTGTGGCTGAACTCTGAAAGGTGTCTCCAACTGGGGGGACTCTTTTCAAACAAAGTCTTTATCATCTTGCCTGTTCAGAATTCAATTTAGTGCAGTTAGATTTGTCTTCAAGAAAAACTACAGCCCCTCAAAATTTACTGTAAAATGGTTTGAATATGGCAATAAATGGTCTTACTGTTTTTATTTTACTGCAGAAACCAACACCCAAACCAAGGCAGCGCATAGCTCAAGCGGACAAGAAAGTATCTTTTCCGGATCTCAGTGCAATACAGATGGCAGTAAGTTTTAAGTATTTTACTCGTGCGTGTTGAAGCAAGAAAGACTACTTATGTCTCAGTATGGACAATTGGTAGAACTAATAATTGAGAACACTCAATTATTGTAGCACCACAGGACTGGGATGTCCCAGGCAGTGAATGACAGCATAGTGCTACGTATAGGTGGGGGGTGCAATGCAGGGGTATTTGTGTGCCTCCCTCAGAACTGCTCACTATCCTCCACAGTTCACAAGCTTAACTTTCATAGATTTAGGGCAGAATCTAATAGGACCAACCAACTGTCTCTGCACTGTGTTTCTCAGCTTGCTGGGTTATTAGTGAAAATGTCTTTGTACAGTTTACCACTTGCACGGACATATAAATGGCTCTGCAGAAACCAGCTTGATGCAGACAGGTCCTGAGTATTGTACTGATGAGATACACAATTTGACACAGTTCAGAGTCACCTCTAAAATAAGGTTTAGCAGCTGAGATTACACACACTGTAAAAACAGTTACACTTGTGAACTTGGAACACACTATCGTGTGTACGTCCTGCCAGATTCTAGGAGAGTCTGCATGGAACTACCTCAAACATATCTGCTCTATGGTGTAAATTTTCATTTGATCTTAAATAATCCACCTTCAGAGAACTAAGAATGGACTGTAGTTATTCCTTTAATTATATCCAATAAGGTAAGGTGGGCTCTTTATGTTGCATTAATTAATTAAAACTACCTGTGGTAATTTTCTTCCATTTGTAAATGCCTTGATTGGTTTTATTTTTCAAAAAGTTAACATCAGTTTTCAATTCACAGCTCCTTCTGCTATTGTTTAGTTTACCACAACTAGAATTTTGTTCTGAGTCGTACACTGGAAATAAGAAATTCCAGCTGTACTGGAAATAGGAATTAAGTAAATCTCTAGTATTTATTAAATGGTTTTTTTATTTAAAACAAATAATAAAATAATCAAATGTTGGTGAAATCTAATCTTTTGAGAGCTCAGATACAGAAAACTGCAATGTTAGCCATATAGTTGCACTCTTAACATATCTTCATCTGTCCAAACAATAACTTCTCAAAGTTCAACAATTTTTCACAAACCAAAAGTACTGTTAGAACTAAATAACGAAGTAGCTGGGAGTTCTCTGATGTCTAAATTTATGGTGAAATGGCAAGAGAGTGTCCATGCTAGAGAATTAGAAATTCAACATACTGATGTTGAACAGGAACAGTCTGTTTCATTTTCCTGTTAATTTTCTGAATAGCAGAGAATCTAGTTCCTGGATATTAATGTGACACATGCCAAAGCAAATCGTTGTTTTGGGTAAAGGAGACTGACTAAAAGGTGGGATGAATGGTTTGACTCACCCAAACCATTGGGAAGAATTGTCCAGCCTCACAGGTAGAAGCTCTAGCAGAGCATAGAAGCAGAAATGCTAATTCAGGGAAGCAAAGGAGGGCATAATCTCCTACCCAAATGCTTCTCCACCAGTAAATTTATACCTACTTTTGTGTGCTATTTGTCTACTATGTATTAAAGGCTTCCCCTTATTTTACCCATCGCTCAGGGCTCTGCTGTTGAAAATAACATGGAACTTGCAGAGAAGACGAAGACTTCAAGAGTTCCAAATGTTTCAGAGGTATGAGGTTAATCAAGTTTTGCAGTTTTATTTAATATTTTGCATTTGAATTCCATGTGTATATCATTTCTTCAGAGTCATGCATCAAAAGTCACACTAGAGGAGAGTAAGATCTCAAAACTTCAGTGAAAGCTGAAAAAAGTTATTCCTTGTGATGCCAATCTTTCTTTGGTCATTAGAAAGGAAGGAATGTCTCTACTTATTTTCTTCCATTTGTGTGAAGTCTATTTTGTCTTCCCTCTAAAAATTACCAGTATATGGATGGAGGAAATGAATGGAGTAACTTTGGAACATTGCTAAATATGCAGCATTCCAAGCAGAAAAGTATTAAATATTGTAATTTTTAATGGTCCAATTGGTTGTGAAAGTAACTTGTGGCAGATTGGCCCAACTAGTTACTAGTGGTGTAACACCATATTTAATCACTAGCTCTTACCTTGCTTCCACTGTTCTACTTTTAAGCCAATATGAGGCTTTGATTGAGAAGTGAAGTCAACCAATACCACCCTGATGTGGTGGGAAAGTAGAATAATGAAACTGAAAAGTTTATCCACAAAATGCAACTCTGTCACTGAAGGAATTAAAAAGAATGGCCAAACATTGTCTAAAAACACAGGGGTTATGACACATCATCTGTGCCAAGGAGGAGCATAAAGAGACATAAAGGCAGTTTTCTACAACTTGAAAACTTCAAGAATAACCTTTATTTACAGGATAAGGCTCTTCAGTATTTGTTAACATTGCTTTGCTTTGTGTGGCTCCAAATGTGTTAGAATAGAAATAACTCTTCGTGTCCCCTTCTGGAAACCCTGGTTGTTGTGTGGAGAGCTGCAAGGTGTCTCACAGATTCTGAGGGTGGGAGGTGAAGCATCAGCATCTCTCTGGAAAATTCAGTCCTAGAGGAGAATTGTTGGATAATAAATAATGCATAGTATCCAGCAATTTCCCCGGAAGGTGCCACTTCTGTAACATTATAGCTGTTGATGAGTTATTATTGTATGTAATTGTACTCAAAGAGAAAGAAGGGAATAAGATTACTTCAGAATAAGTTATCCACTCAAGATGTTTTACCTTAGATAACATGTTTGTATGTTGTAGCAAAGCTGATTTTTTTAATACAATTTTAGTTTGCTTTTGAAACAGAAAATATTGTATAATTTAAGTTATAAAATTGCCAACTGAGTAAGGTGGTGGTAGTGGTGTTTGGTTTTGTTGCTTGTTTTTTTTTTTTAACTGAGTCTTGTAGAAATGAAAGAGCTGAAATATAAATGAATCTGGAAGTCTAACAGGCTGCATATATGTTGACAGGTACCAAATGATTATAATAGTTCTGTTTTCACAAATATACGTCATTAGAGAATTGTCTTTCTACTGTATCAATTATTTGTTAGTGCAGTTGACAACTGCTCATTGTTTCCTGCGCTGCATAAGCAATATAATTGTTTAAAGGCCATGTATAATGAATGAGCCGTAACTGCAAGTCTCGAACTTCAGTAACTTTCGCTGTTCAAGGAGTGTTACAAAGACTGTAAGTTTATCTATTTTTATATAGCAGATGGTACGTGAGGTTAAAGCAGAAAGGCTGGCAGATGAGAAGGTGAAGGGGATGGCTGAAGAAATTCAACCGGAAAAAGGCGACCTCTCGCATCTGTCAGAGGGGCAGTTGGCCGACCAGAGCTCCGGTACCTCTGGAGATGAGACAGAAATAACTGAAGAATTGGAACCAGAAGGTAGAAATCATTTTTATGAATAAGCGACTGTATTTTCTTAATAAATCTCTGTCTCTTTCCATTTTCTTAAGCATTTCTTACTAGCAGTGGGAGCTGCCTCATTATGAGAAGCTTCATGACAGCAATGATATCCTGGTGTACTTTATAGCTGAAGCTGGGCGCTGGATATGGTGGTGTTATTTTCTTCCCGAATGGAAACTGTATTGTAATTGAATGCAAAAATCTGGTATCTGACCTAGATTCATAAAATATTAAAGGAAACCTGGCTTCTATTTAAATGTCTTTATATTCTCCCTTAGAACTATGCTGTTCTAAAGACTATTTTAATGAATATGCTCCTTTTGTCTGCAGATAACAGCCAATGCTGATATCGGAAATCCTTTCAGACAGTGAAAGGGGTAGTCTGTCTTATCACATCTGTGACATAAAGTTGTTCGAGGCAGATTTATTTAAAGATTATAAAAGCCGGGTCATCCTGTTCCACCTATGAGCTTCAACTGTTTATCATTGAAATAAACCACGTCCACGATACCGAGTTTAAAGTAAAAGCACAAGCAGGATGCTAAGATTTTATGTTCAGTTGTTTGCAGCTTCTGTCTAAGAATTCATTAGAAAAATTGGAAAAACATGATGTTGAATCCCTGCTGTGTTTATAAGTAATTTCTCCAGAGAAGAAAGACCTGAATGCTTTAGAAAATAGTCCACCTGCATACAGAACTATTTCCTGCCCCCCCCCCAAAAGTACATTCTTCTTTAGATGTGCATGGTTTTAAATGTAGTCAGAGGAAATCCACAAATTCAGGCCATATTCTTATGTAAAGCTAACTGTTGTTCATACATCAGTTCATCACAGGATTTATATCATTCCACTCATCGGTGTTCATCTGGGAAACATTACTATTTTTTTAGCAAATCAGAAAAAAATACAGTTTCGATGACTTTAAAGGTCATTGATTTGCCAGTGTTAATCTTCTGCAAGGAAGAGAAGATTTACCTAGCACTTATACTTTGCTTATTAGAAAAGCACATATATTGCTATCAGGTTTCTCAGCAAGTCTCAGATGGGCTACAAATACAGGGGGGTTTAACTGCATTGAATTTTTTTTCTTCATTTTTTTTTTTTCAGATCAAGATGATAGACAAGAAAACGATGCCATTGAATCAGTAATAACTGACAGTGATGACTGTATTATTTCAAGTCCAGTATCCAAGTATATTAAACAGGTGAGTCAGAGTATTTATGGAAATTATTTGGTAAGTCTAAGAAAACTTTTTAAGCCTAATGTCCTCTAAGAGTATGTTTTCCTGTTTCCAGTTCAAATAGATGCTTTTTCACAGAAAAGTTAACCTGAGCACATTACACATGTGATTTACAGGTGTTTTTAATGGGGAAATTTGTTGTCATCTTTTCCATTATTGTCATACACACTTAGAAGTAGATGTTTCTAATTAGTTTCAATCTGAATTCAAATTTTAATCCTGCACAAAATCTCACTAATGAAAAGTAACTATTGTAATATGAACATCCAAAGAATTTAGCCTTGTTGTGAAGTCCAACCTGTTGCCTTTATGTGGGAAAATGTGCTTTTCTGCTTCTTCTAGTGCTTTCTGAGGAAGGGGAGGATAATTTCTCTTGTCGAGGCCTTTAGTAAATCTCCACAGCTTAATTACCCACTGTGTTTCATCCCAGGATGTTGATTTGATTGAATGTTGTTGAAATGTCAATTGCATAAACTTGAGGTTGTTAATAACATGCAAACCTTGCATATAATTTCTAGTTCGTCCACATAGATTTCTTTCCTGACTCCCCACCAATTTTAGAACTGAACATCAGTTTTCAATAAAGTTTGTACATGTGCAATATCCAATAACTTCAGTGTGCTATGTTTTCTATTATTAGTTGGGGACATGCACAGTAATTATATTATCTTGACTTGTTTTAAAAGTTCTCTAAAAAAACCAAGAATATTTCTTACTTTTAGGTCTAACATTGACAGAATAATCTTAAAAAATGTTCAAACTAGGACTTAAAATTGATCATAATATTTATAACAGTTAATAGTTCTCTGCTCTGTCTTAGCCTCCTTTTAAAGGATCAGGCGTCTGTTGTTATCTCCTATCAGTCTTAAGTTTTTTTTTAATGTTATGCAATATGGTCACATAGAGGCAGTTTGATTTTTTTTTTTTTTTAAATCCTTTTTTCAAGACTGTGTGACATCTTACAAAGTAACTAGTAGCAAGAAGCAACGCTTCGTATGAGAAATATTGCTCTTTTTTTCTTTTCTAAGTTGTAGAAGGGATTTAGAAATGCTATCAATTATATATGCTGCAAAAAGATACAGAAGGTACTTTTGAAAACAGAATTGCATTCTTTATATGTAAAATGTCAAAAAATTGTTTCACCTGTAACTTTGGGAACTAAAATGACTGCTACTTATCATGAAATCAAACTATAATACAGTTTATCTATACGTTTTTAGGCACCCTGTATCTGATTTTATCAAAATTATTTAAGAACACTTCTGAGGGGATTTTGAGTGTGGATTCATTTCAGGTTCATTAATTTCTACCTCTCTGCATTGATCTGTTCCTCTGGTAACAAAGTGCATGTTCAAGAAGGGTAGATAAGACAACAGAAGCTATAAAGTATTAAGGCAACATGTTTGATACAAATTGGATTTTAAAAATAGGCATTGGTATATTTGAAATCTTGGGTTAATTATAGAATACAGCATGTGAAAATTGCAACTGAATTTGTATTTTTTTTTTAAGATTAAAAATCACTGCCTTTTATCTTTTGAGATAAATATCCTGCTGGTAATCAAACACTGTAAATAAGTCTTGTGATTTTTAGAGATGGTTATGCTAATTATCCTATGAATCTGAGTTGTATGCCAAACTGTTTAAGCCATTTAAGATCATACTGTTTCTTTTTTGGATGTTGCAAATTAGACAGTTCATGGTTATTTCTTAGATATGTTGATCATAAAGGGTGTCTAACAGATTTTCCAGTACTTAGCTGTACCACTTGCTTCTTTCTCTTTTCTTCTTGTCTATGATGTATAATTAATCATAGATTACTTCATTTTGTTTCATTTCATTTACAACATTTATGAGCTTCACTTTGTCGGTATGAAATGCTTGTCCCCTTCTTTCCTTTCCAAAGTGGCGTAATTAGTGTTAGCATCTTTTTTAACAGGCTACATAAAGTTTAGTGGCTGGATTAAATCAAGTCATTAACATAATGTGCTATACAATTTGCCCCTATCTCTTTTCGTTTCCAGTACATCAAAGTGCCACAGAGTGCCAGTGTAATTGGGCCTTGCTAGCTTGTCAGGTTCAGTCAGGCTGATGGCTGCTGCTTTTACTAAAAAGCTTCCAGGCATGATAATTAATAGAGAAAAGAAGTCTGAGAAATGTAAAAGTTTGGACAGTTCTCTATGAATATTTCATACATTGGAATAATCAGAAGTTAACATTATCAATTTGATGTATAATACATTGATTAAAAGCCTTGTTTCATATCCTCAAAATAGACATCAAAACTGGGAATTTGCATTTTCTTTGGCATGGTCTTTATATTTAAAAAAAAAAATTAAAAAAAAAAAACCTTTTCTTTTCCATCCCCTCCTCCCTTTCTCCCCCATGTCTACACTTTAACTTTACAGGAGATAATACAGCGTTCAATTATCACAATAAAATTTACTGGTGTCAGCTTCCAAGTTGTCCTAAAATTTGCCCATAGGGCAGCTACTTGGCAAAACCAATTTATTTGGTGGTGGTCCTGTTTTTATTATAGGTGTGTTTAGGTCTCTCTTTTTTGCTGCAGATACTGTGAGTGCATTATCTTGCACTCGTAGCAGTTTATCAAAAGACTGGCATCATCACTTCCTGTTAATTTAAGATCTTGGGGTCTAATTCATTGGGAAATTAAAATCTCTCTGAAACACCATTAAAAAGCAATACCAATTGTTTGTGGTCCTGCTGGTCAATGAAATGTTTGTGTAAAGGTGGGAAGATGCAAACCATAAAGCTTATGTATAGCAAAGCAATAAATACTTCTCCCTTTATTATGCCCTTTTTTGTACAATTACTTGAATATGCATTTCCTCCTAGGACATCCCTGCATTCATTGGAAAAAAGAAAACCATTTGGACATTGTATTGCACTTTTTAATTTTGGCTGAAGGAGTCTTCTCTTTACATTTCTGCAGGACTTCAGTACCTTTGGTGTGCTTCAGGGAGATTTCTGATTGCTCAATGCTTTTCTTAAACTGGCATGTTCTGTGAATATCTAATCTGAATTTAGAGAACTAAAATTTTAGAGTTTTAATATTACCTTGTGTTGCTGAGTTGGCTTGATTCTGCTGTGCCAGAAATACTAGTCCTTTGCGTTCTCTTAGTCTTGTCTAGATCTAACTTTAGTTGCTTTCTACTTCTTTTCTATAAGAAACCAGAGAAGTAAAAGTGCTGCACCAGTGTATTTAATAAAACAAGAAATAAAATTCATGAAACAGAACTATCTTATCCAAGTAAGATAAAAGTAACTTATTAAAGCTTTATAGTCAGTATTTTCAAAGACTACTGATGTGTCTAAGATTAAGAAATTTGCCATTCTTCATCTTTAAGGTGATTGTTTGCTGTTCTGGTCACTATTAGACAGGAACTGAAGTAAAAGAAAGTTTGAAGAATCCAGGAAAAATTTAAGTTGTCTTTTACCACTGATAGAGATGACAGTAGTTTGAACAGCCAGTATGCTGAAATGAGGGATTTACAATTTCTAGTGCTTGTCAAATATACTTTGAAGTAATAATTAGGAGCATCTACTACAAGTCATTCTTCTTGATGGAAGAACTGAAAGAAGAGGGAGAAATAATACCAAAAAAACCCCAAACACCACATTTTAAAATTATTCAAAACAACACAATCTTAAATCATTAGGTAACCCTTTACTAATTAGTCAGAATGTTAAGTAGAAAGTCAGATTTAAGGCTGAGTGCACAAGCCCACGGGAGGAGCATCAACAGGAGGCACTTTTAACCCAGCTGGTAATGTGTTTTGGGGTTATGAATGTGAATGCTCCTCAGTTCCTTACTTGAGAGACTGTTTATCAGAGCTCATTGACGTAGATGCAAGTTATGGTGACTTTACAAGTAGAAAGGAGTATTTTTCTAATTGAAGGTCTAAAAATGGTTTGAAGATTTAAAACTAGATTTGAGGTTTCATCAGCTGCAGGATACATCACCAAGCATAACTTTTTCATACTGTGGGTAATATGAAAGAGAATAAAAGTGCATTCATTTTTGCATCTCTTTATTGTCCCCACACAATACTATAATACTGCAGGAAACAGTATTAAATGTTTAGTAGTAAAGCTCTAAATAAAAAGAACAGCTGTATTAAAAATGTGCAATTTGATATATTTTTTTCACTACAGATGCACTCTTAACAAATCAAAATGCTATACTGATACTTTTGCTTTCTTCCCATACGAAGGGGCTTTTTATTCCTAAATAGATTAACTTTCAAATATGAATTTTTGAAATCAAATGAGAAGTCTCTGATTTATGTAGAGAAAAAATACATACATAGATGTACACAAAAGGAGAAATCCTATTATATTTGTTTAGTTTTTTACACAATACTGCTACTTATTTGATCTTATTTCTATAACATAAATGTCGACATGTATTATTATACCAAAAATGTACAGAATAAGACCTCTTATTACTGAAATTTTCTGTCTTTCATGTTTATTTGCCTAAGGATCATACTTCCTTATGAAATGAAAGGTGATTTTTAAGTTTACAGAGCATGTGAATTACTTAATTGTGTGCCTAGTTGGTACTGATTTGCTAACCGGCTTTGAGGTTTGAGAAAGTTGGTAGTTGTTTTTTATTTTATCTGGTGTTATAATCAATGGTGAGGGTTTAAGCACTGAAAAATGAAGTCAAGTCTTTGAGATTGTCAGTAGAGAGGGGTGTAGCTTAGTTCTGAAGTCAAGTCTTTGAGATTGTCAGTAGAGGGATGTAGCTTAGTTTAGGACTGTAACCATATCACTTATGGAGCCTTCCCCACTTTCTGGGGAGAAAATAAAACTCAGAGTGAAGGAAGTTTGTATCTCACCAGTCAAACAGCTCCAGATAGATCTGCTTTTCTCTATTTACTCATGCTTAGAAAAAGTTTATCTTTAAAAGCTGTTAGTTGAGGCAACGCCACAGGCAAGTTGCAGAAGCAAATTTTAAAAGATAATTCAACTTCAGGAGAACCATGGAACTATTTCATGTTTATTCAGAGAGTGTGGGGGAGGCAAGCTGTTTGAAGGGAAGGAAGTATTTTATTCAGGTGATCAAAAGTTGTGTTGTGAGCAAAGCTCAAACGTGACTTTCAGTTCAGATCTATAGTTGTCATGGTCACGGTGGGAAAGCTTCAGATCCCTCAGAGACTTAATATTTTCTAAAATGTTTGGTGTTTTATACTGAATTAGAAATTGTCTTTTCTGAGAAAACTCAGTGCGTTGATGGGTATGTTACAGATTTGCATAGAAGAGGCAGTATCTAATCACTGAATTGTCTCAAGCTGTAGCAAGTCATTCATGCCTTTGAAGATATTAAAGATGAATTTGTGCTCTGACAATGATGGATTTGGACTCTGCACTAGATAAAATGGTGGCAACCAGAGACGTACTGATTGTCACAAATACAATTGCTTGGTTGTTTAGTGTGTTGGTAGTTCTAGACAGAGCTGAAGGGATTGCATCTGGACTGGACTGGAGAGAGTCCAGCATAGGGCAACAGAGATGATGGAGGGACTGGAGCATCTTCCTGATGAGGAAAGGCTGAGAGAGCTGGGGCTGTTTAGCCTGGAGAAGAGAAGGCTGAGGGGAGACCTTATCTATGTTTACAAGTACCTAAAGGGTGGGTTGAAGGAGGATGGAGCCAGACTCTTTTCAGTGGTTCCCAGTGACAGGACGAGGGGCAACGGGCACAAGCTGGACCATGGGAAGTTCCACTCCAATCTGAGGAAGAACTTCTTTGGGGTGAGGGTGGCAGAGCCCTGGACGAGGCTGCCCAGGGAGGGTGTGGAGTCCCCTTCTCTGGAGATCTTCAAGCCCCGCTTGGATGCTCCTGAGTGATGTGCTCTGGGCAGCCCTGCTTTGGCAGGGGAGTTGGACTGGAAGGTCTCTAGAGGGCCCTTCCAACTCTGACAATTCCCTGATTCCATGAACCTTACTATAGTGCTACCCTTGTACCGTTGCCTTCTCCTCCTAGCACGTGGCAAGAAACCAGTGATGCATGGGGAAGATTATCTTTCCCTTTCCCTCCATCACAGTAAATCTGACCCCAAAAGAGCTACTGAAGGAGAAGAGATCCCTTTGCCCCAGGCCTCAGGGAGAGTCTAAAGTGCATGTGCTTTTTGAAGTCCCATCCATTTGCAGAGGGAAGAGGGAGCATTTCTGTATCCCTCTTGCTGTTCTCATACCTACACCATTGCGAGCAAAATCCAAAAACAGAAGACGTTGTTCCTAAGATGGGAAGTCACTGCACACAGTTCAGGGCTACAGTAATTTTTTGTAATCTGTATTTTTATGTGTATATGTAAGATGATGAGCTGTTAATCATAATTGCTTAGCAAGTAACATTTGTGTCTCTGAGCAGTTAAATCAGACTGACGTTCCTGTGATAGCGTTCCTTTGCAGCTCTGTTCTGACATTGTTATAGGATGATCACAGGAGTTTGGCACTTGATAGAGGAAGAGGATAAATTCTCATTCTATAAATATATGTCAATCAAGTACTATTGATAGTGACTGAAGTATTTGCAGCAAATGGATGATTACTTGTGATTACTGGACAATAGCTTATAGTTTATCTGATGCTAAATGCTCTCTGCTTGAACTAGAAGGGAACAAGTGAGTAAGTGGACTGTGGAAATAAATGCATAAAATACTAAGGAGTAAAGCATAAATATTTTTCATCATTGTTCCTATAAGCAAGGCATTCCGATGCCACTGATTTGTGTAGAAAGCACAAAGTTTGTGGGTTTTTTTTTTAAAAACAATTCTGTGGGATACAATTGTGGACCTTTTGAGTCACTTGGAATTTTGTTAATCACATCAAAGCCGTAGCATTTTGTTGTGACAAAAAGGAAATAAAACTATGGAATGTACAGCTTCTTGAGGATGGCAGTCAGGAGTTTTTATATGGAACTTTAAAAGCTTTTTAATCTCAGATATCAGAAAGATGAGAAAAATTATATTGGGACTTCAAATTCTGATGTAGTATCCAATGCATTTAGTACTTAACCTAATCCTAAAGCTTGTTAGAGTCCAGTGGCTCTTCCAAATCTCTGGGTAGTATTAATTAAAAAGACTCAGTATTAAATGGTAAGGAAAGAATATTGCTATAGACTAAGTGTATTGCCCACGTATTCCATGCTTGAAATTAAAGCACTGAACCAGTTTCTCAGAGATATCTTTGAAAGTGTTTAGTATTCTTTATTTTAATACTTGTCCCCAGTCTCTGTTAGAGAAAATTTCATATTACATTTTGTTTTAAGTACTAAATTTCAAGACTTATTTTATTCCCATCAAAGTAGAATGATTTGTGGGAAGTAATTTGTCATGACAAACTATTGGTTTTTCACTTGAGTAGTACTTAAAAAGTGAGACCAAGGCTTAAAAAAAAAAAAAAAAAAACAACCTTAGGAAAAGATTTAAATAACATACTTTACTCTGCATCATAGAAATAAAAATGGTTCTTTAAAAATTAATTCCTATCATATATGGGATGCTACATGACTACATAATATAAGCATTTTTGTATTAACAGTGAAATAATGTCACCAGCTATGCTGGCCTTCAGCAGTTTTATGGGTTTTTTTATTTGTATGTATTTTTTTTAATCAGTTTGTTCGCCTTTCCATATGCTATATTGATGTCTGATGGTAATAAAACCAGGCCTTAAAATATTCTTGACTGTTAAGCTCTAAAGTAATTTTTTCTTACAATTTTCTAATAGTATGACTCAGTTATTTGCTTCCTTGTAAGTTAGAAAGCACAATATCTGAATTTACCCTGCTATCCTTGAAAAACTGTAATATTCTTTCCCTACAGTATGCAATTACAAGCGTTAAATATGTCAAACAAATTTTAAGTTATGTAAAAGAAATATTTATAATACGGGATATTGTATTTGGACTTGATTCATAAACTATTGTCTGTGTACAAACTAGTTTGACATAGCTGCTAAATACTTTGGGGGGAAAAAACCCACTCAGCATATCACTTTAAATGCAGCTGCTAATACATCTGTTCGGTGCAAGAAGAAAAGAGTTGTTTCTGAACTTAAATTAGACAATAGAGCCAATTTCATTTTTTATGCATGTGAATGTAGAGTGCTTGAGGTTATTAGTTGAAACTGAGTAACCTTTCCAGGCTTTCATCTCTTTCTTTTCAAATTTGAATATGAAAAGCATATTCAAGTCAAAGACCATCACTTTAATGATATTTGGCAGTCATTTGATTTATTAGATTTTAGAAAAAAAAATTTCCTTTAAATATTTCATCATTCTATGCTAATCCTAGTAATATTGCCAGCTGAAGCCATGTACCTGTATTAGTGGAGACAGAATGGTGTGGAATTTTCTCTGTCATCCTAGTAAAATTTCCATGAATCTACTGAATAATAAAACAGCCTTATTGAAATATTCAGATTTGGGTTTTTAGTTAAAGTGTCTTAGGATACATAATAAAAGGAAATGTCTTTTGAAAGGAGGGGGTAAAATTACTTCATCAAATATTGAAAGGGCTTGACAGCACTGGAAATTGTTCTATATGATGGATATTTTTACAATAAGATACACCTGCTTTTCAGTTTGATTAATTATATAATTTGCTTGGAAAAATATAAACTCTCTCCGTAATAAATTAGAATATTGACTTGCAGTTCTAACACTGAATCTAGAAAGCTAATCTTTTGGATAAAATTTATTGCTTCAAGTGATTTAAGTTTACAGTCAAAAATTGTCAAAATATTTCCATATAGGGGAAATATTTTTAATAAAATTGTGATCTTGAAAAGAAAAGAAGAAAAAAAAAATATTTCCATATAGGGGAAATATTTTTAATCAATTGTGAACTTGAAAAGAAAAGAAGAAAAAAATATATTGTCTTATGTTTCTGAACTCTAGCACGTTCTGTTTGCTCTTTGAAGAATCTCATCTTTGAATGCTCACCTGTGTACTCCGATCTTAAACCACAGTGGCTTTTCTTTCTTTGAATTACAAAGTTACTGAGGGAAATATTTGTGACTCGTTCTGTCAAGTGTGACATTCCCAGTTAAATACATAAAGCTTATTAAAATTTATCTGTACACAAATAATACAGACTTCGCTGAGCAGCATGAAACAATTTTATATAAGCACCAGAAAAATGTCATTTCATTAAAGATAATAAGATAAGGCCCTGGTGAAGAACAACTGGGATATTACTTTTATCATCATATTGTTAATTTTTACTTTTAAATATATATTTGATTTAACTAGAGAAGTTCAGTCTATGAAGTTGAATTCCGTATAAATACAGTGAAACTTTAAATGCCAAAATGCTTTGTGACTTGATGGCTTTTGATTGCATTATTGTGGTATAGCCCAACAGTTCTCTGTCATTTGGAAAACTTTGGTACCTCGTTTTACTGAGAATATTTCAGGCAGTTACGGGATCAAGATACAAATCACTTCTCTGAGTAGCTAAAAATAATGGCAACTGAAATGTGTGGTTCAGATACCGTTTGTACGTGAAGAGAACCTTAACCTAATCTTCCCCAGCACAGTATGACTATTGCAAAAACATTTTCAACACCAAATGTAAATTGGTGTCTGTTGTAACAATATTCTTAACTGCAAACCCTGGGGCTTTAGAATCTTATTGTGTCTGTGTCAAAATCAATCAATCACTGTTAATCGTTCAAAATAGCCAATGAGTTACACGTATGTTTGTTTTGTGTTAACACTTCAAAAAACACCAAATAATTTGTTTTGTGTTTCTGCTTCATTTGTAAATAGGCAAGTGAAAAAATCCGGATTGAAATTATATCGTTCAGTCTTACTGAGTCACGAATTGCATCGGATGAAACAATCCAGCAGCTGTTTGTAGAATGCAGATTGTACAACCTCGTTGCAGAAGAGACCCCGCTGTCACTTCCAAAACCAACAAGTGGTCAGAGGATTCACTATAACTATAGCAGCGGTAAATATGATGTTTCTTCTCTTAAATCGTATCTTATGAAAATGCCTGTCAGTAAAGCCTACTTTCTCTATATATTATAGTTGCATTTATCTGTGTCCTATATCGTTCAGTCTTACTGAGTCACGAATTGCATCGGATGAAACAATCCAGCAGCTGTTTGTAGAATGCAGATTGTACAACCTCGTTGCAGAAGAGACCCCGCTGTCACTTCCAAAACCAACAAGTGGTCAGAGGATTCACTATAACTATAGCAGCGGTAAATATGATGTTTTCCTGAGCTTGTTTCTTCTCTTAAATCGTATCTTAAGAAAATGCCTGTCAGTAAAGCCTCCTTTCTCTATATATTTTCGTTGCATTTATCTGTGTCCCGATTGCTTTTGTCTATTTCCCAAAATGTTTTGGGAAATATTAAAGGTGATTTTTAAGAAATGAGGTAAGGATCCAGTTATCAAGTATAAAATTAATTTTTGAAGTAGGCTTCTTTATAAAATGGTAATACTGAAATATATTTAAATATGCTGCTAGCACATAACTTTTAAAATTAGGCTATCTGTAACTAAAATTTATGTATTCTTTTTAAAAGAACACGATGAACCGAGTTCTCTATTGGTACATGATGATACAGCAAAAGAAAAACATTCAGTGTAACCTTGTACAACTGAAATACCGTTGAAAAGAGGAAATATGTAATTGGACTTGATCATCACTTGGGAATACTTAGTGTTCCTTTAATTAGAACTTTTTGAAATAGGAAATTATTCAGCCATGTTTAATACTAATACATTGCTACTTACTTCAGAATGCTTAATCCTGCATGTTCCATGTGCTGTTCTCTAATAAATGAACATTTGAAAATACTTTATGTCAATACACAATGTAATTTACACTAATAGCATACACAGAACTATTGTAATAATTGATAATTCACTTGTTAATTATTTTCCCAGCTATTTCACGGTATTTCAATTATTCATTAACTTTTTTTTTCTGTTAAAGTCTATTTCATTTAAGATTCAGTCTGAGTGCTTCATGTCGTCTTGGACTTTAGGCGTTGCATTTTTAGCTGGGGGTATCCTGAAGCAGGTTTGTGTTTGTGACACACCACTAATACAGCCATTCAAATGAGCATTCTTTTAAAAAGAATTTTGTAAAAGCAGTGTCACAGTCAGATCTTTAAAACTGCTGCCATCTAGAAGTCTGATTTTAGAAGGAGACTTGCCAAAGAAGTTACTCATTTATATCCTCCTAATACTCATAAATTATTTAATTACCCCATAGTTGAAGACTGAAATCCCTTGTAGGTGTCACATCAACCATCCCTGCCGTGGGACTGCCCATTCAAGAGAGATCTAGAGGACAGAGCACAGTGTTTTAACTGAGAAAGACAGTAAGCTTTGTAAGGCTTTAGGAAAAAAACCCAAGCCTATAAAAACTAATAGGACTGCAAACTCATTCACTGAGGCTTACTTCCATTCAACTGACTGGGAATTCTGGCATCGTGTACTCAGTGAGACATTGGATAAATAAGAACTCTTGTTATGAGCTGAACAATATTCATCTTGGTAGCTGCTGTGAACACTTCTTCGAAATATTCTAGATAGGCAGACATAATTCAAATCATTTTTTTAAGACCTCATTGAATTAACACCGTAATGCAATACAAGCCATTTAACACTTTTAATTTCTCTCACTTCTTGAATTCTCATTGCTTTGAATATAAGAAGCATTCCGAAGTTGTAAGAATTCTTACACAATGTTCTGATTCCTGTGTAGATTGGGTCTGGTCTAAGCATATTACTAGGTTGTGAAGTATTGACACAGCAAAGTTACAATGAATACAGAGCGAAATTGCAGGCTCTTAAGACAATTACGAAACTTAAATATATTTCAAGCTGGATAGTTGAAAATAGTATCATGCTTCTAATTCATGAGGCTTTCCAATCTGACAGTGCTATATCTTATTATTTCTGCGAGTCAAAACCTGCCTTCATAACTTTGATTTTTCAATTTGCTGCTTAAGTATCGAATATAGAACTGTTTCAATTAACAAATCAATATCAAAAGGTGGTCTTAATTGCTTCAGGATTGTGTTCTGCAGCATAATACTAAAGTGGTTGTTATTTGCAGAGTTTTGCTTAGATAATTGGTCATCTAATTTCTACTCAAGATTAGCTTTGCATATAGGGGAGGGAAAACCTAATGAGTCTGCTGTTTGATGATGTCAGTTGGAAAGCCAGTAAGAGAATAGTAATGAAATCTGCATGTGTGTTTACTATAGCTTTACTGCATCTCTTATTCATGTCTAATTAGATTGGAGGATGTTGAATATTTGAGGTTAATTGAATATTTTCTTTAATAAAAATGAGATTTGCATGGGTAGAAAGAAATTTACTTTGAGCTTAGAAGGAAACTAATAGTCTTCTAGATTTTTGCATGGAGAAAATCAGGGTAAGTCCATAAGTAATCTAAAAGATCATTAATTCTTATAAATAAAACATTTTTCTATTATTTATAATGGGAACAGCTTGACTATTTTATAAAACGTCTTAACTGATACAGAAGGCTCCATGAGATTCCTTGCTTAAAAAACATTTAAAATTTTTCCATACCTTTTGCTCATGCTTCGCTGTCATTGCTTGATCTGTAAGATACCAAAAGATTAATGGAATCTTGCTGAAAAACAATATAGTAGAAGTCTGTTGATCTGTACATAGAAGATCCTATGAATTTCCCTTTTCACAAGTGGTTAGAGCATATAACTTGGCAATACTTGTTTATTTTGACTATGACTTTGTGACTAGGAATGGTTAGAAGATGGTTTTCTGAGCTCTTGGAACAGAAACTTGACTGGAAGATTTCCACACTCCAGGGTTACACCATATAGCTCTGGATTTCCCATGACATTCACTGCTCTATCCACTGCTGGCCATACTCACTGAGGAGAGGAGCTGTCGTGTTTGTTAGTGGTGGAAAGAGTTATTGGAATATCCAAGAATGCTTCCAAATACTACAGTCCCCTAAATTCAAAAAAAAAAAAAAAGTGGAACTTGCCAAATTGTGCTCCCACCATGGCTCTGTTCTGTCATTTGGTAAAAAGGAAGGATTCTGATTTTTGATGGGGTTTGTTTTGGGATGGTTTGGTTTTGATGTGTGGGTTTGTGACAGATCATAGTAAGCAATGAATTCATATTTTACATTAATGCAGTTTAACATTGTGTGCCAGAAATTATATGTATTTCCAGTCATCCCACAATATATGCTTTCAGGTAAATGGAATGGCAGTTTCACTGTCAGAAAAACGTAGGGAAACATGTTGCTCCAAGCAAACAAAGCCCAGTTTCCATCATATATAAATGGATCTATTGATATTTGACTCTTAATTTCTGTGAAATAAACATTTTTCTTATCAAGACCACAATTACTTTAATTACACATTTAATTGAAAAGCTGTATCTCTTGAGTGAACAGGTGGTTATTTGAACAATTTGAAGTACAAATGGAAGTAGACTAAAGAAAGGGGAGGTGGGGGAAAGATGATAGGGTTTATTTTTTATTAAAAATAAACTTCTGAAAATAGATATTCTAAAAGGTGGATTCGTCAGAAAACATTGTTATACTTCATTGTGTTTATTCCTTTTCTCCATTAAGGCTCAGCACTGTATGAGGCATTTTTTTCTTCATCCTTGTGATGAAACTCTGCTTCATCAGTTAGTCTCTTAGTTTTGTTAGAAAGTGAACTATGAATAAAATATGCTATAACAGAAGAAGCCGTGTTGATTTTGGAACTGCAGTGATTTTTAATGAGGTTCCAGGGTCATTGTAATCTTCAGATTTTAATGCTTCTTTAGGACAAACTTTAAAATTATAATTTTAAATACGAAGTGTCACAAGTTATTTTTGAATTATTTTTGTAATTAATTGGATAGAAATATGAGATGTTCCGTGCCTTGGAGCAATGTTAGAATTCTAAGTTCAAGCAGTACTAAGGGGTGATATAAAAGCATGTTATTCATCAGGAACTAAAAATATATTTTCACTATGGTTAATAGTTTTCCCCAGACTTGAATAGAGTTCTTGTGCTGAATGCTTTCCTAGTCTGATTTTTTCCATTGAGTGAAATGAATTTGAACTCTTCAGGTTTGTAAATAATTTCCATTTTAAATTGGTTTAGATAAAGAATTAGTAAACTTAGAACATTCCATTTGGGATGCTTATGGGGAAGGGAAGGATCTGTTGATGTGGCAGCTCCTTTGAAGTTCTCTGGCTGTCCATCTGTCTCCCTGCTGCCTCCCCAGCGCTTCCTGTGGTGGCCCCAGGAGCACTTGGCCATGAGAGTAGCACATGTGGAAAGTCATCCACATGCCCAAAAGAATAGCAGATGGCAGTAACAGCTCCTCTTAACCTGTCTGAGAAAGTAAGGCTATTGTGGGTGGAAACTAAGAAGTCCAAGACAGACCGTCAATGCTTTCATTTCTGTTAATAGAGGAAAAAAAAGTGTTAAATTGTAATCTCCTTTGCTTGAATGATTCAGATACCAATTGTACTGGCTGTTTTCTGAAAGTCACTAATCTCTAATAGTGCTTCTGCTGGCCAGGTAAGAGCTGAGGAGCACCTTTGAAGAAAACTAGAAAACCAGTAGGTCTGGAAAGTGTGCTTCCTGGAAGGACTTTTCTAGAGATATGTCCCTCAACAAATCCCCCTGCAAGGAATTAATTGGAGCCTCCTTATCTCTCTGTCATGCTCCTGTATTCCAATACTCTCTACTCCTTGGTAGAAATGGTAATTTCTGCTAATACAAATAAGTTTATTTCAGATAGTAGAAGACAGTACAAAATACATTCAGGATTTCTGTCAGCACGTGGAAAAGAAAACCTTAGTGTGATGTGGAGAGTGAAAAACAGCAGGTTTGAGTACAGTGGCAGAGTAACTAGAAGGGGATGAGGCATGTGAATATTAAAGATGTTGGAATTTAAAGCCAGGCAAGTTTCTAGCTCCTCCTCCTGCCCTAAAAAACAAATGAAAAATGTTCCTTAGAGCTGTGTTTGTATCTCAGAGGGTTATATTCATTCCAGTTCCATTCTAGCAAAAATTTTTCAGCTGCATTTCTTACTCTAAAAAAAAAAAAAGAAATTCCTTTAGCACTGTCTTTAGCATTCCTTACTCTAAAAAAAAAAAAAAAAAGAAATTCCTTAGCACTGTCTTTCAGTTCTTGCATCCTGAGTTTTTAAAATCTTTCACAGTGATTTACTGATACTGTCCACTGATGTGAACAGATACCATTTGCAAGACAGAAGCTACTTTCTTAATATAAGAGGCCCAAAAACTTCTTAAAGAATTTCCTAAAACCCTGTTTCTCATTCTTGTATTGTTTTTTCCAAACCAAGGCTATTTTTCTCTGTAGGTCATATTAATGGTACAAAAATTAAAAGCCAGTCCTTGTGTTTGTATTTTAAATTAAAACAATAAAAGGCTTTCAGAGCGTTCACACACGCTCCCCAGGCTGTGGATTTTCTCCAGTCCATTGGTCTAGATGTTTCTCTTATTGAAATATTGTGGCAGGAAAGGAGGATTAAATTACTGAGGCTGTCAAAAAGGACAAGCACTCTGCCATACATTATCATTATCACTCGCTTCCTCAGTGGAAGAAAATGCAGTAAATCACTTCAAATACAAAGCAATAAAGACCACTGGCTTTTAAAATCATGACTGCTATTGCCATTAACAGAAAATGACAGCTCTGTGGCGTGCTTAGATGCTGCTTGTATCTTTTTTGACAGTGTGCACATAAACCTGCCAGTGACACGCCATTAGATCACATGACCTTTCAAATTTGATTCTAACATTGTTGCTTTTCCTGAGGAAAGACAAGGGAAAGAAATGTTTATTTTTCTTTGTTCTTTTCGTCATGCTCTTTCTTCTAAAAGATGAAAAAAAAAAATTGTTAACTAATGATATTAATTCCGATTTGCTTTGCAGTGGTACATGTGGATAAAGCAAATAATGGTGCAAGAAGAGAGTATCTCAAGTTGATGCTTCTAAAGCCAGATCTACATTCTGACAGGTACATGTTAGTGCTGAAAAAGTCTATAAAGAGTCTTTGTAAATTATGTTTATGGTTTGGCTTAGTGTTTGACTGTATTGAGGAGGTATCATTGAGAAGTTAATACATAACTAACTAAGAAAATTTTTTCAGCCAGGAATGATACCTAGATCCCAATGTGGCGATTGATCTCCATTTCTTCCCTGAGTATGTTCACGTGGCATGGAATATTGCAACCTCTCTTAATGTTTTAGTGCTGTGCTTTGGTTTTGTTAACAGCCTGGTTTTGCAAAATGTAGATTCTATCATCAACATTCTATCAATAATGAATTTGAAAAGCACATACCTACCTGATGGTAGAGTAATACATCTGTAGTTTTCTGAATTCAGAGGACTAAAAGGAGTATAAAAGCTTCAGAAAGCGTTCCTTGGCCCTAAATTTTCCAAAAACCTATATATATGTAGATAAATGTAGCAGGCAGCTATTATATGTATACATATGAGAAAGAGTATAAATTAGTATTATCCAAGCTTATAATAATAAATTTGTTCTTATTCAAATCTTTTTGATTGATATAGCATGCAAGTTACTTTGAGAGAATGAATGACATCATAGATTCATAGAATGGTTTGGGTTGGAAGGGACCATAAAGAACATCCAGTTCCATCCTGTTGCCTGGGCAGGGACACCTCCCACCAGACCAGGTTGCTCCAAGCCCCATCCAGCCTGGCCTTGAACCCCTCCAGGGATGGGGCAGCCACAGCTTCTCTGGGCAACCTGGGCCAGGGTCTCACCAAAGAGAGTAAAGAGTGAAGAATTTCTTCCTAATATCTAATCTAAATTTCCCCTCTTTCAGTTTAAAACCATTATTCCTCGTCCTATCACTACAGTTCCTGATAAAGAGTCCCTCCCCATCTCTCCTGTAGGCCCTGCACCCTTAGATACTGGAAGCTGCTGCACATCCTATGATTCTGTTTCCTATTGAAGGTCAAATCTTCACTAAAATGGAACAATTATTCATTTAAAGATTAATTTCATTTGCAGAAGCGTAGAATACCTGCTGATTGTATTTGAAGTGTAAGAGTTACTTGTAAATCCTTTAAATACATGTTTATTCACAAATGACAGATTTGCTCTGCAGTAAAAGAGAGTGATCTCTCTTCATTCCATTTCCCTTCTAAAACTTTGGCCAGAAAACAGATTTTACTGGAATGGAGCAGGGAACACATAAAATGATTATTTGTTGGGATGGAAATATCATACCAAAACATTCTTAGGTTTGAGGATATGAAAAAAAAAAAAGTCTTCACTTAATAAGCAAGCAGAAGACTTCTTTTTCCATATAGATTAGGAAAGTGGGTAACATGTTGTAGTAAGAATTTAACGAATCTGAGGACAAATTATTCTTTCTTTCCTGAGGGATAATTCAGCAAAGGAAAATAGCTTGTCTGTGGGCTGCAATTTCACCTATAAATACTTAGATATCTACACTAAATATTTAACAAACCGAAGGTAAAAATTAGGTAAAATAACAGCAGTGAGCTTTTTCCCACAATGGAAGCATTTGTTTTTTACATGCACCATCATGGTTCTGTCCTGTGGGTAGGTTGTTTTCTGCATTTATCAGTGTGTCTAGTTTGGTCTGAAACTTCAGTTCTGTGCTGCCTAAATAGCAAGGCAGGAAAAGTTCATCAGTAGTCCAGTTCCTTGCTTTATCTGAGCAAGAGGACCACCGGGAAACAAAAATGTATAGAAAGATTCTGTCTATACACCAAATGTTTTCAACTCTCTGCGTTTCAAACCTGGCCTAGTTCTATCTTCAACACATGTTTTCTATCACGAGCCTTACAAACTAATATCAGAACTTCTTCAGCTGAAACAGGAACTGAACTAAACTAATGCTTTAAAGCTCAGGAAACCAAATTATCAAGGATATAAATATCGTTGAAAATTGGCTGCATGTGGTTTAGCCTGACACTTTTTTGGTGTTTGTGCTATGTCAGCTTCTAGGAGCATAGATAGTGTATTAGGTATAGCAAGTGCTGGATTAAGTTTTCAGGTGAACTTTCTCCCTGTCACAATAAATGTTGTTAGAAATGATACTTATGATGATCGAGTCCATATTAGAACATGCTGTTTTCGTCTCCCAAACGGCGAGTCACTTTAATGAATGTCCCTTGAAAAAGATAAATATTCTCAGGTGTTAAAAGAGATACTAACATAATACATAAAATTACTGTTAAGACAAAGTTGGAACTACAGTGTAATCCTATAGTTGAAACAGGAGCCAATTTGCCCCTGAAAATAATGCATTTCACAGATTTATACTCCTTTAGTTTATACTTGCAATTAAGTAAATATAGATTGTCATGGTATTTATATGGGAAAATATGTTTATTTCAGAGAATCACGGAATCATTTAGGTTGGAAAAGACCTTTAAGATCATTGAGTGCAACCGTAAACCTAACACTGCCAAGTCCACCACTGATCCCTGTCCCTCCACATCTACCCATCTTTCAAATACCTCCAGGGATGGTGACCCAACCACCTCCCTGGGCATCCTGTTCCAATGCTTGACAATCCTTTTGATGAAGAGGTTTTCCTAATATCTACAATCTCAACTTTGTTGGGAGTGGGATTTACTGTTCATTAAAAGATGAGATTTCAAAACAAAGTTGATTTTTCTATTCTTTCAGTGTCATTTGTTGATAAGGAATCATTTTAAGTGTTTATAAGAAATGTTGGTTTTGTTTTCAAATTTGAAATGGCTTTAGTGGCAGAAAAGGAAAGAATATTCAGTATTCAAGAAAATCAAGGAAATATGCAGCTGAAGAGAATGATGTAAAATCTGAAATATATAAGCATGAAGGAGTAGGAGACTAAGAAGACTGCTTGAAATCCTGTTTGGGTTAGTAATTGTTGTATACCACAAAGGTGGTTCTCCTTTGACAAGCATCTTTGTCTTTATATTTTCAGACAGACAATGTCTCTATCATTAATATGGAAATTTTGTCAGAACACTTGCTTTTTCTTACAGCTGTATTGTGTGACATGGGTAGCCTTTTTGGTTTGTTTGTTTTTCTGTATAATAGGAATTCAAATTATATTCCTCCATCAATAGCTAGGAAGCTATTCTTTCTAATATTTGTAAAACTTTGAAGAAAAAAAAAAGGATAGAAAATTATTATTCTGTTTTATCATCTGAACCCCAGAGCTATTTACTTACGTGTTCAAGTCTTTAAATCAGTTAATAAGAGGAGGCATTTCTGGCAGTCCATTTACTGTACTGGAACTGTGTCATAGTTCTCTTTTATTCTTCCTCCTGTTTGTATTCCACTGGTGCCTTGCAGCATTTGAAGAGTGTAGAAATTTGGCTCGTATAGAGAATTTTAGGGGATTCCTGGTGCCAGATTGTACGTGCAGACCTGGCAGCAGAGTCGCTGCTCTCCTGACAAGTGTCAAAAGAGACATATGTGAGGAATGGAGGAATCCATTCTCCTACCAGTCACCCTGCTGTGATAACAAGAGTGAACAGGTTTATGCAAGAGGTTTCCAGCCTGATCCTGACAGGTGCGTCATTTCTTGGTAGGAAATGATTGTTCCTCCAAGAGACTGACTCTATGAAGTTATTGTTCTCCAAAGTAACCAAATCTATGTGTCTGTGTTATAGGAATACAGAGCTAATAATATATTAGCTTCACGTTAATATAGCTATAGTAACACACAAGATTTTATCCTTGCTACTTAAATTGCTGGTCTGTGGAATAAAGAATTAGAATCAAATTCACCTGTATCACAGCTTTTGTCCATGCTCTCTAAATTCTCTGTGTGATAACACCTTTAAGTGTTATCATGACAACAACAGTAAATATTTATCCAGGTTTTTCTGCTTCATTGTTTTAAGGCAATTATTATTATTTTTTACTTTTAGCCCTTTGTTATCAGACAAGTTTCATTTAGTTCTCTAGTCGTTCTTCTAGTGGCTAGCAAATATCTTCCCACACAGTGCTTGTAACAGGATGTCAAGATTTCTTCTCATTCTCTCAGTAGGCATGGGATTCCTGCAAGGGGACAAGTACTGATACCTGGTGTTATTGAAATGTGGAAATGAGCTAGAGAGAAAGTCTAGGATCCTAGAGAGACATACTGGAGAGGGACACTATATATAGCTTTACTTATGTAAGAAATCCTAGTGTTAATTGGATATTCCAACTTCCATGGAAGTTCCCTTGGTGAGTGAGGCAGCGGGTGAGGTCAGATGGGACACTGCTGCACATTGGTGCATTCTGTGCTGAAGCAGAGTGAGGAGTATGTTCACATGCACGATGTTCCAAGGTCATGTAAACAGTGTGTTTGTAGCCAGTTCAACCTGAAAACAAGTCTTGCAATTTTTAGTAAATCATGACACTGCTGCACATTGGTGCATTCTGTGCTGAAGCAGAGTGAGGAGTATGTTCACATGCACGATGTTCCAAGGTCATGTAAACAGTGTGTTTGTAGCCAGTTCAACCTGAAAACAAGTCTTGCAATTTTTGGTAAATCACAGAATGCTGTGGGGTTGAAAGGGACCTCTGGAGATCATCTAGTCCAACCCCCTGCCAGAACAGGTCCACCCAGAGCAGGTTGCACAGGAACGTGTCCAGGTGGGTTTGGAATGTCTCCAGAGAAGGAGACTCCACCACCTCCCTGGGCAGCCTCTGCCAGGGCTCTGCCACCCTCACAGGAAAGAAGTTTCTCCTCATGTTTAGATGGAGCTTCTTATGTTCAACTTCGTGCCCGTTACCTCTTGTCCTGTCCCTGGGCACCACTGAAAAAAGACTGGCCCCATCCTCTTGACACCCACCCTCTAAGTATTTATAGGTGTTGATCAGATCCCCCCTCAGCCTTCTCTTCTCCAGACTAAACAGACCCAAGTCCCTCAGCCTCTCCTCCTAAGGGAGATGCTCCAGGCCCCTCATCATCTTTGTAGCCCTTTGCTGTCCCCTCTCCAGCAGTTCCCTGTCCTTCTGGAACTGGGGAGCCCAGAACTGGACACGATATTCCAGATGGGGCAAATTAAGAACACAAGTTAAAGCATACTGAATATGATATTTAAATATTGTCTAAAATGAAAGGATTTGTGATATTTTTTTAAAAATACAAATGTCAAAGTGATTGTGGTACCATTCTTACAGTCTATTATTGGAGTATTCCCATGGGATCTAGAGTTCAAATCTCCTCCTTCCTGATCAGCAGCAAAGATTTAATCCAATGTTATGATTGTTTAGGCATATTGGAACTGTAAGGTGTTAGATGTGCAGTTCTTCTGTTGAGTTGAATGGAAAATACTTGAGTAGGATCTGAACCAGAAAGTGGATCAGTATGAAAAACTCTCCACTTTGGCTTTAAGGTACTGTCCCACATGGTTTTAGGTTCTGCTTTTAGTTTATGCCTTAGTGAAAATTTCAGTAGTAGTTGTTACCCTTAAGTGATAAAAATTAAACCAGTACTAATCCCTTCCTCTTCTGTCACTGTCATAACTGCTAAGCTGGTTTCTCCAATTGATTTGATTTAACATTGACACTGAATCATAACAAAACAGATCTGTTCCCAACAGCCAACAGTTTTATTAGTTACTTACAATTTTTAATTTGTTTTTATTTCATTCAATATTTATCTTAAACATCTAATTATTTCTTTCTTTTTGATTGAGTTCTGGCAGTTCTGCTGCTGCTTAGCTCTGTGCCAAAATCTTAAGTTAGATCTCTTATACTCAATCAAGCCACCTGCTGTTGGAAATAGCCATGGTATTTTTCCTTTTTTTGCCTCCAGATATTTTTTTAAAGACACTTATTTTCAATTATGTCCGATTTTAGTGACAAATATTTATATACATTTTTTCTATAATAAATATTTGCTAGTAAGAGCCAGGCACAAAAATAAACTACTATAAAAACATTTTGCAGTTGTTGTTATGTTTAAAGTCTTTTAGGAAGATCTGATTATATTTTGTCGAAGATATCCTTTCCAGTAGGCTTGGCTTTTACTCAGCTTGATTGTTACTCATTTGGAATCATGCTTATTGTAACATTTTGAGGCTTTAAAACTCACAAGCATTCACAGTTTAAACAATGTTGCCAAGACATACCAAAAAAAAAAATAGTTAGCTCTGAATTCCTGTCGTTTTGTCAGTCTCGGTGTTTTTGGCCCCAACACAAGCCACTAACTCAAGTCAGCTCCAGCACAATACTGGAATTATGTGTTTAAAAGAAAAGCCATACTTGGATGCAATGAGTGTAATTTAAGTTCACAGAAGAAATGCAAATATTTTGTATAGTTGTTGGACTTAGATGATTGGGAGGGACCAACAGGCTGTGTTTAGAAAGCACCAGCAATTCTCAAAGCCCTTTGTATCCAGGCTCTACTCACGGGTAGGTTTTTATGTGTAAAACAGGAACAGGATAATGAGGGAATTTTATGTGTAAAACAGGAACAGGATAATGAAGATAAAATATGAGAGGAATTGGTCAGAGGGAACAAGTATAGGACAAATTACTGTGTAAGGTCCAACTTTAAATAATGAATACACAAGACAGCATTAGAAAGATACTATTTTGAGACAACTGCCTTTAGGTTCCTGTTATTTTTGTGGAATGTGTTTCTTGGCTAGAACGTGCTCTCCAACTATCTAAATGAGGTGTGAAAACTCTCAATAACTTTCAGCTAAATATTTTAGACTTGGTGCTTGGAAATATTTGATTCATTGAATATGGCTAGTATTTCTGATATCAGGAAAATATTTGATACGGTTTGTCTTTCTCAAATATTTATCTTGTGTCTCTGACACCACTCAGTGTGAAGCCAAGAAAATGCATTGGCTTAAAATATACTCATTTAGATCTAAATTATCGAGTGGTGCAGACCAGAGAATCTCTAGTGCAATGCAGCTGTGGCTAATGGTCTGATAGTCACAGTATATAGATTTTTAGGATGATTTTGAGAATTCAGAATACTAGTCAGTCCCACTGACTGAATGTCTGTTGCAGTGGAATGCAAATAATTTGCATGGTGTGGTCAACACAGTAAGAAGGTAAATAAATAAGTAAATAAAAACAAAAAACCTACCAGAAAACCCCTAACAGTATTGTTAATATTTTATATAAATGACTTTTGCTATAAAAGCCTCAAAGTACATAAATACAATCTTGATTTTTACCTGTGGGCAGTAAATATAAAGAAAATTGGTGACTTCAACAGTCAATTCAACAGCTGAACTAAACAAACTTAGAAGTTTCAAATGTGGAAAAGCCTTTAATCCTTAAGCTGATTCTGCCCGTCACTGCCATATGAACAAGAATTGTGCCACGGGGGGGTGGAGGGTGAGATAAATGAAACAGTTCTACAAGCTACGGGTCTGTGGCTACAACTTCTGTCCTTCTAGTACTGCTAAATAATGCCTGAGGAGGAGGAAGGATATAAAAGAAAGGGTCTCAGATTATTCTTGTCATGGAAAATGTTGAATATAATTGATAAAGAGTTCTGGTTTATGCTTAACTGGTAACATAAGAGTGTGGGTTTTGCCTTTTTTTTCTGGTTTTTTGGTTAATTTTCAACCCTTTTTGAAGGTACATTTTTATTTATTTATTTTTGATGTTTAGCCTACGATTTACAGTGGTCAGTGATCCCCCAGAAGATGAACAGGATCTTGAATGCGAAGACATCGGTTTTGCATACGTCAGTTTGAGAGAGATATTCCAGAAGCAAAGAGATATCATTGAGCAAGATATTGATGGTAAGTTTTTAGAGATTGTTTTCTTGTCACCGTTTGTAACCTAAAAATGATCTGTTGAATTTCTGCTTTTCTCTGCAAGCTTTACTGTGCAAGCAGTTGTTTGACATAGTTTCAATAAGAAATTACTTGATATTAACTTATGGTTTCCACATTTGTTTGCAAAAGCAAAAACTGTGTGCTATTGTTATTCCTTAAAATCTGTTTTTAAAAAGCCAAAACCAAACAGCATTCCCAGCTCATAGTAATTATTTCATAAAACCTAAGAACTTCCAGGACGTGGCCGCTTACTATAATTCTCGATTTTGTACAGCATACTTCATGCTGGTAAGACTATAAATGTATATTGTGTTACTAAAACTCATGTCTAGAATAACTCTGTATTGCTAATGTCTATATCTTATTTGAAGTTATATTATAACTCCCAGAGTACCTCAGGCTTGTGTCCTCCCTATGAAACCCGTTTGTGAGACAGTAGGAAATACCGGTGGCTTTGGGTAGATGTCAGTTTAGATTGTGCATCCTTCTGTCCCAGGCTGTGACCACACTTTCACTGTGACTCATTAAAGCCAGGTGAGTAGGAGGTGTGGGATCTCCCCTTTCCTGGGCCTTAAGACAGCATTTTTATAACACTGATAAGAAGACTTAAGAAGGATTCTTGGTCCTTTCGGAGGCAGCAAAGGAAAATATTGTCCTTGCTTAGATTCTCCTGTTCCCCAGGGCAGCAGGGACATGGTTATCAATGGTGCCTTCCCTGTTCCTCTCCGTCCTGGGGGTGTTGGTCAACTGTTGGCTGAACATGAGTGTGCCCAGGTGGCCAAGAAAGCCACCAGCATCCTGGCCTGTGTCAGGAACAGCGTGGCGAGTAGGGCCCGAGAGGTGATTGTCCCCCTGTGAGGCTGAGGGAGCTGGGGTTATTCAGCCTGGAGAAGAGGAGGCTGAGGGGAGACCTTATTGCTCTCTACAACTCCCTGAAAGGAGGGTGTAGAGAGGTGGGGGTCGGTCTCTTTTCTCAAGTCACAGGCGACAGGACAAGAGGAAATGGCCTCAAGTTACGCCAGGGGAGGTTCAGGCTGGATATTAGGAAAAATTTTTTCACTGAAAGGGTTCTCAGCCATTGGAATGGGCTGCCCAGGGAGGTGGTTGAGGCCCCATCCCTGGAGGTGTTCAAAAGACGGGTTGATGTAGTGCTGGGAGGTCTGGTTTAGTGATGATGTTCCTTGTTTGTTGTGTGGGTGTCTATTTTTGTCAGTCAGGTTGACGGTTGGACAAGATGATCTTTAAGGTCCCTTCCAGCCTAGAAGATTCTGTGATTCTGTCCTCTTTCCCCACTGTGGTGAAGCTGAGGGTGTACCTGTTCTAGAACAGTTGCTCTCCTGTAACAGTAAGTGAACCAGTGGGATTACTGGGCACAGTGGCCCCATGTTCACAAGATACTCTTAGCAATAGGAAGAGTTCTCCGTAGCTCCATCGGAATGCTAAGCTAATGGGACTTTGTTACTTCTGCTGCCGTGTCTAATGACCATACCTTGAGTGACGGAGAGCTGAGTAGTAAGGGAAAAAAAAATAGGCTTTCTTATCCATTTCCATTATCATGCATGATTTGCATCCATGCTGTAGCTAAAATACTCTATGCATCAAAGTTCCAGGAACACGATAAGGAAAATTCTAAGAAGAATCAGATTTCCATACCCTGGAAAAATAATATACGGATTTGATGCATTTCTTACTGTGGCTAAACTACTTAATCTTTTCTTCACCAATGTTTTTTTTTTTCCAAGTAGTTGTATCAAAGCACGTCTCTTCCAAAAAGGTATTTCAGAGTCTCTCATTAGGAAATTGGTTTTGTTCTGGATTTTATGGCCATAATTCCCATTTGATAACATTGATTAGCGATATAAATATAATTCTGTACCCTTGACGGTCACCTTTCACAAAACTCTTACAACTACAAATAGTCACCTCTGATAATAATTATGACAGGAAGGGACAGGGTTCTGTTACTAGTTGTTGTTCTGTCAAAAGGTAATCATTTCTATGTAACGACAACTATTTCAGTATTGTGAGGAGCGTTTTTTCCCCTAATCATAAGACATTTGAACTAATTTTTACCTCATGTACCATTGTATCTATGAAATTGATAGTAATAGATAGAAATACTTCTATTCTTATCCCTATCCACACTTCTCCTCTTCCTTGCAGATGCTGTACAGTTTTGATTTATATTTTTTATTGGATCCATAATTATATTTTCTGAAAACTTAGAAATTTCAGAGAATTGAAATGAATTCTATATTAATATATGTCAGATCATAGCAGAAGTAGAATATTTCCATATATTCTCTTGTAAATTGTCATTGTAAAAAGATCTGCTCTTAAGATCTAGACACAAACTCCAATTAAATGTAAGGGCACAATAAATAGAATTCCTAAATAATATTGTACATCTTCTCAGAGGTGGGTATTGGTTTGAGGAAAAAGAAGACACAAACTCCAATTAAATGTAAGGGCACACTAAATAGAATTCCTAAATTAAAACCTAGACACAGGGAAGTTCAGAGGATGCTGCCCCATGAAGATCTAATAATTCTTAAGTCAGATACCATAAACTTCATTCTTTTTGAGGACAGCAAGCATGATATTTTGTATCATGTTCCTTTCATTGGTGATTGTGGGAAAACGGCCTACGTGAAATGTGAAGCAATTAAGTGAATGGCTAAGCAAGAGGCTGGATGAAAAAGAGTTCAGACAAGACGTATAACAATATGTCTCAGAGATAACAAAGATGTTAAAACTGAGAAAACAGAATTAATGTTGTCTTCTGATAGCATTCGCTACAGTTATCCCATCGCTTTAGAAGTAGAATACAAGACGTATAACAATATGTCTTAGAGATAACAAAGATGTTAAAACTGAGAAAACAGAATTAATGTTGTCTTCTGATAGCATTCGCTACAGTTATCCCATCGCTGTTAGAAGTAGAAAGAATCAAGTCCCCTGAAGTCTGCTCTTTAAGTTGACAGTTCACGGAGTGAGTTGTTCAAGGGTAGACAGAATGGTTTGGATCTCTAAGAATAGCATCAAATCTGTCCTACAATAGCTCTAGCAACAAAGTCAACGATGGAAGGTTTATCCTGTGATTTTCCTTCTCCAAACCTCTTCTGAGCCGTCCCAGCAGCCTGGAAGTTGTAGCACGCGGTATCATGGCATGTCCCAGAGCACTTATCCCAGTTTGTGCAGTAAATACACAACCTTGCCATTTGTCTGCTGTATAATTTGCTTTGAAAAGATGTGCTGTCAAGAGTATTTGGTTTTATTCCAATTCCTTCTGGAGTCATGCTAGGCCGCCTCACTGCTTTTCATGCAGGACTGGGAAAGAGCCTCATTTTTGCTTGTTAGCAGCATGGTTTTAATCACAGCAGCAGAGACTGTGGCCCTCTGGGCTCACTTAGGTTATTGATAAAGAGGGCAATTTTAAATTATGTTAGGTAATTTCTGTAAAATAGATATTTTAAATACTACTTTAAAGCCCACATACACAAGGATGAAGGTAATTAAATAGTTTAGTCTAGGGGAACTACCATCTTTGACTACGCTTCGCTATTTTACAACACATAGAAGCTTGGAATTATTTTGTGTGCACAAAGAATTTTGCATTGCACCACTGTAAAAACCAATTTACTATTTAAATACTAATAACTATGCAGGCTGATTTGGACCTGTAGAAAGTGCATTACTTGGTTTATTTTTTACTTAAAACTCTTTGTAACTATGCATATATGTCTTTAATAGAATTTGGAACACCTATATTTACATATTGTGAAAAATAATTATTATTGGCAATTATCGTACAGATAATCATCTTTATTTCAAAGTTAATTCCAACACTAATAGTTTTATTGATGTACATTGTAGTTCTTGGAGTGCTTAGTTTCCAGTAGGCTCCGTGCCTGAACTGGAAGATTTCTTTCTTTCTTTCTTTTATTTCATTTTCATCCTTTTTTTTAAGCATATGCTAGGTGCCTTTTAATCTGTCCAAATGCTAAGGAGAATTACCAGAACAAAAGCAAACCCTTAAATGAAACTGCTAATGCTGTTTTCTGATGTTTCCTTTCTAGTTTTCGATGCACAAGATGATAGTGCGGTAATTGGGAAGCTCAAAGTATCAGTGGAAGCCCTCCACGCGCTGCGCGCGGTCTACCAGGAATGCCAAGATGACTAGGAGGCATGAAAGGGAAGTTTGCCTACAGAAGTTCCTTCTCCCAGTGTAAATACATGCTTGATAGTGCTTCAAAGATGAGATCTTTGTAATTCTTACAGTATATTTAATGTATAATTTATATGAAAAGGACGCTTGATTTGTAGTTGTAAAGTTTTGTATACTTTTCAGTCTGTTTGTTTTTATATTTCCCCCCTAAGGCTAAGAATCTCTCCACAATGGACAACGCCTTGTAAATAATTAATACCTACATGATTGAATGATGTGCTTTATTTGCATTTTCAAGATTTTTGCCTACATAAAACAGTAATAAAAATGCAAGTCAAAATTTTAATTTTTAATAAAAAAACCATAAGCCTTAGAAAACTGATTAAAAATACTTTTATGTTATCCCTAATCACCCCACTAAATGGAATGCCTGTGATTAGCCTCATTAAGAATTTTATACTGTGAAGATTTTATTAAAAGCAATATATGAAAATTACTTGGATTAATGTGTTAATCTGCCTCTTTAAAATGCTAATATCCATTTTATGCACATTAAATCTCAGTATGTGTTTTCTTTGATGCATGCAGTTCCTATCAATTAAATATAAAAAATGAGGCTAGTTGCAGGACTTATTAAATTACTGCAACCTTTTTTTAAATAACTTTTACCCTTCTACTAACATTATAATCAGCTGTTTATGATTATCAGGATTTGAAGTAGGGGGGAGGGCAGGCACAATCATTTTTCTGTACAGTAAAAGATTTACTTTCAGCCAACATCTGTCAAAGCACAAAAAGAAGCCATAGAGTATCAGATTTTGCTTCACCTAGTTTGAGCTGTAGGGACAGGCAACTCTGTTCTCATTTGTTTTTTGTCACTTTTAGACCTTGCATCAAACATCTACAATGAATGGTTGTATCTGAAAAACCAGTGTCTAGCTTGGAAAGTTAATTTTCCAGCTTTTAACCAATCTCAGTGAAGGATTTAATTGATATTTTTAATGGAGCTGTGAATCAATGCTGCAAAAGGATTGTCTCTTGAGAACGGGGATATAATACATTTCATTTTTTAATTTACTTTTTTATTTGTCATTTTCTTCAAAGGATTTTATAGGCTGTGGATTTCTACTGTTTGCAAACAGGCTATGTTTCTTCATAAGCATATGTAAAGTATTCAGAGAGATAAGTAATTTATTAAAATCTACCTAATTTGCCGTGATATATTAAATCTCTGCTTCAGTGATCACAGACCATTTCATTTAGAGAATTAGGCATTCCCTCTTTGTGTGATTAAAGCTCTGGAAAATGAGTTCTTTGCTCCTATTTGTGAACATTCAAAGCCTGCTAATGGCAAGAAGATGGAATAGATTATGAGACAATTCATTACAGTTCAACAGGAAAAAAAAAAGCAGCTATAATGCAGAAATGCAAGTATGAATATCTGCATATAGTTTGAACCATCTGTGCTCTAATGGCTTCAATAATGGCTCTTCGTCTTCAGTAGGCTTTGAAATGACATCCATACAATATTAATTTGTTGATGTACATTATGAGGCCAATGGAATGAATATATTCTGACCACAGAAATCTCTGAATTCCAACGTGAACCCATGGTTGACTCCATTTTAGGACCTACCATCTTCAGCAGTGCTTCTCCTCCAGCCTTTGCCAATCCTCGCAGCGTTTCATTCCTCTGGAGCTTCTCGGCGACCACAGACAGCTGCATTCCTCAACCCCTCCGTTCTTCACTTAATGGCCATATGTTTGTTGTCATTTGGGCTGGCGCTTAGTTCATCATTTTGGCCACTCTTTCTAGCTTTTTTTGGCTCTGTGCATCTATATTGTCAATAAGGCTGTTATTATACATTACAATAATTCGAAACAGCTAGATTCAACACTGAGATTAACTGAGTGGCTTTTGAGAAATTTAGTTGCGGTATTCTGTCAGGAGGTTCTTATTATTCTTCTAATACTTTGCAAACCAAACTAAATATCCTGCGCATAAACAAAGACGAAAATTGTATTGAGTTTTGGTGTGTGACTGTTTACTGACTTGCAGGAGAACTATGTAACTGGGGCTTGTTTTCTTCTGAAATAAACCATGTGGTAAAATTAGAAAATCGGTGATGTTCATCTCGCTTAAACATTTACAGTAACACCCTTAGCGCTTAATCTTCGCCATCTGAAGCTGGAAACTTAGAAACCAAGCATTCATATATCCATTAAACACAGAGCTGTTCGGTAAGTCACTGCAAAACCTTCCAGTTGACATTAGCTTACATTGTGTTAACTGTTCTCAGTGACTCCATCATTAACATGGATAATTGGCCTCAAGTCCCGACACGGATCTCTTTGGAAGGCTCGCTATTACTCAGTTTGGGATCTAACAAAAAATAATCTCCATTTCTGTTCATGTTTATTACTAAGACAGATATAATATTCGGTGAGGATTTTTCCAACAGATGGACTGTATTATCTTATGCAACATAAACACATGAACATACTAGAAAGTTTTGTTCTTGCATTAACTAGTCTGTATTTCCAACACACTCTTAAATCTTAAGTCTAAATACTGCACTGTGCAGGGAAAGTGGAAAATGTAATCTAGCACTATTTTTGTCCAGATTTTAGCTCTGAATAGATAGAAGGAAACTTACATCTCTGTACTCTCTAGCCTGAGGCAACAAGTATCCTTTTTTTGTGTGTGCAATATGTAGGTAAGCACATTCCTTTTTGCATTTTAGAAAAGGAGCCTTATTAATGCTGAGTACTGCCATACTTTGAAATGTTACTTAATTGACATTAATTTTTGTGGAATAGATAAATTTTTTCCAATGGTGTAACTTGGATGCAACAGTGGTCCTGCATAAGATGAATCGTGCAGGGTCAGATGATCAGTTTTGTTATTTTATATCTTTTCCCATTGATTGATACAGCTTGTAGCTTTGTTGTGGTATCTTCTTATGTGATGTAAGAGCTGCTGTTCTCCGAGTCTCCCAGGTATGTTTATCATGATGGAAACTTAAATTTAGCTCAAAATACTTTTTTTTTTTTTTTTTTTTTTTTTTTCTTCTTGCCATGTTGCTTTTAACCTGTTATAACCTTAAGCTAGGGATGGAAGTTATAAGAGCAAATACATCATGAACCGAGGTAATTTTTGCTGTACAGTAAGTCTCAGCTTATCTCATTATACATTTATAAGAGTAGACGTAGCATGACAAAAAATTATAATAACTTGCTTTGCAGGACTTTTACAACTGAAGACCAGTATTTATGTTAATAGTAATATTGTTTTAAAATGCTTTTTATTATTTCAATGTGTAGTAAGGCATAACTCAAGAAGTCACGAAAGATATCAAGATTAAATATTAGCTGTTAAATTTCATTTTCTTTTTCATATTAGAACTGAGAAGTAAATTCAAATCTAGACTTCAAATTGCGGAACAAACTTTGTTGCATGTTTCAGAGCCAGAGAAATATTTTGTATTGCAGTTAGGTATTTTTGCAGGTGATGGATGATAATGATTTATCCATCAGTTTTTCCAGATATTCCACAATTGAATATATATTTTTTTTATAAGACTTCTTCAACATTACTGTTCATGATACAGGTCTCAGTAATTGGACTAGATCCCAATCCTGCAACAAATACTCACTTGAATGCATTATGTTGCCTGTATGAAATTGATTGCAGAATATAAGTTCAAGTTGATACTTCTGTATGCATGGGATAAAAATTCGCTTTTGGCACAGCATGCTACAGGTATTCAGCTCTGTGCTTTCTTGGTGTTGCTGACAAATCTTAATTCTCTTTGCATCTTTTAAAATGGAATGAGGTAACTTTTGAAGAATTCATTAGAATAATTTCTCAAGGGAAGAATTTGACTTATGTTTTCTTTCTTATTATAGTGTAATCTTGGCACTCACAGGACATGACCTTGGAAGTCACATATAACATGAAGGCTGTTCTTAATTCATAAGCACAAACTCCTGAATCATGTATCTGTTGGCTTTTTAGAGGTATTTAAAAGCTTTTCTTATTTCTAAGGTCCTTGCTGAATCAGTCTTCAAGCTCTTAACACTTCATGGCATCAAGGTCATTTCAAGCAAGAGCTGCTTGTAAATTATCAGATACCAGTTCAGAATATTTTGTCTAAGAAAATTAGCAACTACGAACCTTCAAACAGAAATGCTTATAGGTTATTAATGGTAGTAGCTCTGCCATGACCCTGTATCAGGATAGGATCCTTCAGGTCAGAAGGGAGCTCCGGTGGTCTCTAGTCCACCCCGCAGCGGGAGCAGCTATAATGTTGGAGCACATTGCTCAGGGCTGTATCCAATCTGGTCTTGAAAACCTCCAAGGCTGGAGGCTGTGTAACTTCTGAGCAACCTGTTCCAAGGCCTGACTGTCCTCGTGGTGAAAAAAGGAGTTAAGTTTCTAAACATTACTTCAAATTGAAGCCAAATCTACATCTGAGCATGTGAAAACAGCTTTTGCACTTAATAGACCATCTGATACCTAATTTTTATTTTTGTTTAGTTCTGTGGATGGCATAAGCATGACCTTGTTTGTTATTTGTTTCAGCCATTCAATAGCTTGCAGAGAAATACAAGGAACTAGGCATTTTAGTACTGACTTTATTCCTCCTGCCTTGCAGCTTGCCATCAAATTTCCATCCAGTTTTGCGAAGTAATTGCCAAAAAATAGCTGTTATTGTTAACAGTGTGGTTCACTCAGATAATTTTTCTGTAGATTTCAGTAGTAAAATGTTTTCCAGTTTACTGTGGCTTATTCCTCGTTTTGTTATGTTAGGCTTAGATTATTTTAAGAGTAAGAAAACAAACAGATAAATGAAACAAGACCAGGCTAATGTTGAAATTACACTCTTTGTGACCTTCATTCATGAATTCTTAACACATTTTAGATTTACAAAGAAACTGTGCTCCCTGAGCTGTGAGAAGCAGGGCTATAAACCTGGAACCTCTGTTCACACCCATTCTCTGTATCAAAACATATCTTACTCCAGTACTCCAACATTGATAGCTGCAACAGTGCAAGACAGGTCTAGCACATGATCTAGCAATGATTTGTTTAACATTTTTGTGGATTTGGAAAATAAGCTATTTTCTATTTAGACAAACTGTCATTCTTGTTGAATACAAAATTATTTCCTTATGCATTAAAGCTGCGAAAACTGAACTTTCCTTGCAAAAAAGAACATTGGAAAAATGTGGTCCTTCTACTACTACAAAAAAAAATTTGGAAAAATTTGCTTTTGCTTGAAGAACTGTCATGCAACCAGTGATTACTCTTATTACCTACTCAAAAATATAAATAACAACAATAGCTAATAGCCTTTGACTTCAATGATAATGAAAACCTGAAAATGTGTTACCCTATATAGGGCAATTTTCCCAGAGAAATTAAAGGAGGAAACACCAATCACCATCTGACTCCAAATGCACAGTACAAGAATACTAAATAAAACAAAGCAA